GGTCAAGCTGTAGATCCTGGCTACACAGGAGTTGCAGCGGTGGGAACGAGAGGTGGGAATAGTCCCGCAAAATATAAATACCTGGGTCTTTCCTCCCTAAACTTAGTATAGGTAAGTAAATAAGTAAACAGTAAGTAAATAGGTTTTACCTCCTATTTATTACACAGATAATCCTTAAAATAACATTATTTATTCAGTTTTCCTGGGGTTAGACTAGAACAAAGCAGGTTTGGGTATATCCAACCAAACAACGAAATAGCAACAGGTAAAAACAAAATAGAGGATAAATCAGTAAGTAGGCTAAGTAGGTACTACAAGTAGGCCTAAAGTCGCTTCCACCTCGGCCTGATCATCACTTACCATCAAGTGAGATCTCAGGTGAGATACAGGCCAAGAGCTTCCTCGTTGTGGATAAAAAAAAATGTACCTTGGTAGGTACTATGTATTACTTATTCTGTGCCTAAAGCCCATTTTCACATAACAGGAATTTTGTGTTCATAGGTCACTTAAATGATAGNAACCCTGGACATCATCTAGCACTAAACTGCTCGAAAAGACAAATCCAACGAACCCAAACTCGATGCGATTCCGTCGTTTCGTTTAGGAGTTCCTATGGCCACCTCCTGACTCCATCATCAGACCAGCTCAATGGTACCATAACATTGCATTGTCATCGTACTTACATAAGTATACCAAATTTCAGCACAATCGGTTGAGGAGAAGTGGTCTTAAATTCAGTTGCAAGATTTGTCCCACACATACTAACAAGTGAAGTCAATATAAAGCTTGTAAAAATAATAACTAGTATAATCTGAGGTATTACTAGCAAGTTTATGAAATATCTTACCTTTTATTAGACGTTTTTGCTCAAAACTAAATAACAGAATTCAAAATAATAAAAAACTAACAAAATAAAGCAAATATGCGATATCGAACATACTCAATTACAGCTTGATTCGTAATGAAGAGAAAATACAAGGAACAGTAAACAAATTCTCGATATTTTTATAATTTATCTGAGGATATTCCGAACTACTTTTTAGCGGTGTTATAACGCCTGGTAGGAGTAAGTGGGTTAATTTCGAACTCCTCCTATGTTCTTCTGATTAATTTCGTTGCGGGTCCAATGACAGTTTAACTTTCCCCCGTGACAAACTTGACCTTCATTGGTTGGGTTTTTGTGGCGGTCAAGCTGTAGATCCTGGCTACACAGAAGTTGCAGTGGTGGGAACGAGAAGTGGGAATAGTCCCGTATACCGTCTCAATTTAGTTTATTTAGAAGCCGAACGGTGAAGGTGTCGGACTGGCCGACTCAAGATCCGAGGAACGCGGGTTCGAATCCCACCGTCGCTTGACTATTGTGGTGAGCTCACTCGTGACACAAGCATATTTAGCTTACCACGAGGGTACTAAGGGGACTATTAGAATTTGTGCAATACAAATCTATATCTATAAAAGCGAAAGGTCACTGATTGACTGACTCACTCATCACGAAATCTCAGAAACTACAAGTGCTAGGAGTCTCAAATTTTGCATGGGGGTTCGTTTTAAAACGCAGGTGCTCACTAAGACGGGATTTTGCAAAATTCAACCCCTCAGGGGGTTAAACGGGGTCCACGCGTACGAAGTCGCGGGCGGCCGCTAGTCCTAACTTATATTATTATAAATGCGAAAGTTTGGATGTCAGGATGTCTGGATGTGTGTTACTTTTTCATGAAAAAACTACTTAACACGTTGAGTGCGAAACCAGGTCTATAGACCTTGTGTACGTCTCGCTTACCGTGCGGCTAAGAAAATTATAGTCTTCCTTGTCGTGCGAAAGGTGTAACTTCAATTGGGTCCGGTGTAGGAAAGTGATGAATATATATCTATGATGTATTCTTAAAATAGAATCTAATGATGTACCTACCTTAATACCAGGTTTTTAGACCTGGTACCGCACGGAAGTAATAAAATTTCTTCACAATGCGATACCAGGTCGAAGCACCTTGTACCCTGCGCACCTGGTACCGCACCCCACGCTAGCTTCGTGCAGCCAGTGTTGCCTCGCATTCGTAAGAAACGCACATGTCGACATGGCGTCAAGAGAAACAAACAAAATCAAAACTGCAAATTGATTATAATTTAATTTGCTACACGATTTATTGCTAATTTAAATAATGTTTTTCGTGACAAACATTTCAAGTTGTGACTAAATCTTATTAAATAATATGTTTTCTTTAAATATTTAAGTATTTATGCACGTATGTCTTATTTGTAAAATATTGAGACTAAATTATTAAAACATCTTTGTTTGTTACTTTTTTATTTTTTTATTAAAACTTAATTTAAACTATCGATATTTGTATTTCACATCCCTAGAATACCCACCAGACTTCCCTACTTCAGTGCAGCACAGGGTGCATAAGCCTTGTATTTTGAATATAGCTATAATTTTTATACTAAACAAGTTATTCACGAACGCCTTCAGGTGTATGTCAATAAATGCATTATTATTAATATTCAAAGAAAAAAAACACAATATCTATTAACATGAAGCCAAAAATAAAATTAATATATCTTAAATATTACAAGGTCTTTAAGCCTTGTGCCGCCACAATGTAAGTTTTAATACCAGGTTTACTGACCTTGTACCGAAGGAATGGAAAGTATTAGAAAGTTACTGCCGCAGCAAAGGTGTTAAAGGATTTTGTTGAAACTTTACAGTATTATTGTTTGTAACCCAGATTAACATAGGTATAGGCTAATTTATGCCGATCTGTGACACTAAATTTCACGCGGGTGAAGCCGCGGGCAAAAGCTAGTTACTAATAATCTTTGAAAAAAATGTATGGCAATATTTTTTGTAAGAAAAAAATATCATTACAATGTGTACATACAGTACAGGAAACTTAGTAAAAAATATATATTTATCGTATGTATTGTAATGTTAATGTTTACATTATACTAAAATAATTGTAAACAACATATTTCTTCATATCAATAAATACCTTGACAAATACATCTTGAATTGATTGCATAAAATCATGACCTGATTTTATTTATCTTCATTCAAGAATTATATCTATATTTACTCTAAACTGATATTATAAATGCGAAAGTAACTCTGTCTGTCTGTCTGTCTTGCTTTCACGCCTAAACCACTGAACCGATTTTGATGAAATTTGGGAAAGGACGTAGGATACTTTTTGTCCCGGTTTTTGTAACAGGGACGCGTGCGATATAGGTTTTCTGTGACAGACAAAATTCCATGCAGGCGAAGCCGCGGGCGGAAAGCCAGTTAGTTATCAATAAATCGATATTAATATTGTAGAATGTAAAATTTTGACTGTCTGTCTGTCTATTACATTTTCAGAGATTAACCAGTAGTAACCCCGGGACAAGCTTGACCTTCACTGGTTGGGTTTTCATTGGCGGTCAAACGTATTAATATTTAATTAAATCATCAGACCCAGAGGTCCCGGGTTCGATTCCCAGTGGGGGCAAAAATGTCTGCTCCATTTGGTTCGTGGTAGGGCTTGTTCTAAGTCCACCTGGCTAGCTACCACCATCTTACCTAAGTTTGTCTCCATAACAACAATGTTAGGCAGATTTGCAGCATCTCACTAACTTGAATAAATGTCAAAAATCAGTCAAAAACCATACAAGAAACACCGGTTATTGTCATAGACATAGTTACGGTTAAAGTAAGTTGGTACAACGTGGTACAACTCAGCCTTAGTCATTTGGAAGTAAGATAGCCAGTTCCTCTGTGGTTGAGGATTCCGGGTGAAGCTCGCTTCCACCTTCGGCCTGATCATCACTTTCCATCTGGTGAGATGCACGAGCGTTGTAAATAAAAACAATATTACCTACCTAAGATAGTAAACTACCCACTCAATTTCAAAGTAGGGTAGTAATAGAAATAATATTAATAAATAGGTATAGAAGTACCTAGTGGGTACGAGAAGAAAATGCAAAAATACTAGACGGGCAAGTACTAGGTACCCGTTCGCGCTAAGTTTGCCGGTCCGTGGAATGCGCGCCCCCTCTCCCAACCGCGATTAAACGCAATTAGTTAGTGATTAAACGCAATTAATGTGTCTTTTTTACGCAAATACACAATTTTTATCAATAATAATTAATAAAAAATATTTTAAATATAGTTTGTTAAAGTTATAGACGATTCCCTTCGAGTGACGTCATATCGCCAGTGGAAAACTTATAGGGAACGGATAGTATGAGGATTTACAAGATTTCTGCTACTATGAAAGGCATGCAGTTATTAATAATAACAATATCTACATAACTTGAAAGATAAGGCTTCAATTCCACACAAAGATAAATGCTACTATGCGGCAGAGTAGAATAATGCCCCTTTTCACCATCAATCCCTATTTTTTAAGTGACCCATATGGTAACACATAACAGGAATTTTGTTTTCAAAGGGGTTACATAAAAATTCAGTTCAATTCAAGTTCACTCACAAGGTGGACCGACGACATCATAAAGGTAGCAGGAAAGCGCTGGACGCAGGCCGCTACCAACTGGGCAGCATGGAAAGCATTGGGGGAGGCCTATGTTCAGCAGTGGACGTCCTATGGCTGAGATGATGATTATGATGATGACAGTAGGTTATGGTATCCTGGTTGATGATTGATGGTGATTGGTTTAAATATCGAAATTTTGTCAAGTAATCTATCATCATCATCATTTCAGCCACAGGACGTCCACTGCTGAACATAGGCCTCCCCCAATGATTTCCACATCGCCCGGTTGGTAGCGGCCTGCATCCAGCGCCTTCCTGCTACCTTTATGAGGTCCTTCGTCCACCTTATGGGTGGACGTTCTACGCTGCGCTTTCTGGTACAAATCTATGCCTGGAATTAGATCTATTTTTGAGCTTATTTTTCTTTAATTACGGCTCTTTAAAGCTTTGTTTTTATAGCTACCACTGGTAAACAGGCACATAACTATGTATACATAGCTGAGGCTATAGTTCAATAGTTCATACGTGTCAATGCAGTTTGTAGCGTCCAGTCGTACGGTAATCTTCGAAGAGTGGCCACGTAAACAAATGTATTATTTTTAGTTACATACAATAACAAGTTGGTGAAGTTTATTTTTTATTGACGGACAAAATTGTGAGTAATAATTTTTGACTTTTATTTCCATAATTTATTGCAATATGTGGTAGTGGCATTTATTAAAAAAAGGGCTTACAAAAATAAATTAATATGTGATAATTAAACCAAAATTTAAACTGTAATTATAACAAGAAGTCAAGAGATTTTAGGTATTTGGTTACCAATAACAAAAAATCATTTTTAATTGACATGTCACCTACCTTTATTCTTAATTTTTTTTAATCATTTTTTTTTTACATTGGTTATTCGGCTTTATTCCGTAAGTTTAACAAACTAAAAAAATTTGTAAAACAGCATCATTGCTGTAATTAGGTGTTATTTTTTTGTAATTTAGTTAGAGTACCCGCAGACTACACACTTTAATCGGCCTATTGTTTGGTCCGTTTACAATCTCACGCGTTATTTTATAAAGTGACGGAGTTTACAATTTCAATAGCATGTAGGTAAATATTTGGGCAATAATTCGAAGTTGTTTCCTCATCAGCAAAACAGTTTTGACCATCCAACCCCTTGCCAGACCATCATTTTAGGAGCTGCCAAAGCCACGATGACCCAAACTTCATGATGCACCAACGTTCTTACCTAAGTTGGGAGCATGCGCTGACAAACTTTCAGCATTTGTAAAATAACGTAGAAAGAAAGAAATAAAGAAAAATTATTTATTTGACAACTTAAAAAAACCTTACCTTGTACGCAGGGGCAAAAAGAATGTAATAAATTAAAAAAAATATATAAACTCAAAACTCAAATCAATTAAAATTCACATTAAAATAAAATTACAATAACAATTACAATAAAAAACGCAGGTCTGGCGTTCACTAGATATTAAGTACTCTAATACTGATAACAGCTCGATGTAAATATCAGCTGATAAAAAGCCTGCGGGGTGTCATAAGGTTATGACGCCTACAAATAATTTTAGTGACTTTTGATATTAGAAATAGATAATAATAGACCAAGGCTAGGCGAAAAACGTAAGAATAACAAGTCGTTGTAAAAATAAATCAGTAATGTAATCAGTTGTGAAACAGGCAAGGAATCGGGTTTTTGTTTTCTAGTAGATAGGACACTTTTAGTTGTAACTGGTTTTTAACCGATTTCAAAAAAAGGAGGACGTCCTCAATTCAAGTGTATGTTTTTTTTTTATGTTACCACAGAACTCCGTCAGTTAAGATCACACAAAACTGGCAATAGGTATCGTTTAAACGTAAAGTTCTAATGATATTATTCAAGCCACGTTTGTTTGTAGGTATAATTAACGTTACGAACTCCAAGGTTTTTGTACGTTGCAAGTGTTTTTTGTGACATGATGTCAAATCATTGACCATACTTTGTTATGATGATTTTATGATCTGTCTACGACATAAACGACTTATAGGTATGCTTATGTACCTTTGGGAAGTAATCAAGTATTTTTGATGTCGCGGGTAGTAAAAAAACTTTGTGTATTTACACTCGTTATACCAACTCCTTGTCCAGGACAAGCTGGCGTAGCTAGGTAACCAAGGGTCCTGGGGCAAATAAAAAAATGGGGCCTCACTGCAATCTAAACTGGTTAGGTTTTATCAAAATTGACATTAAGCTTAGGTACTTACTGCTGATACAGCTTTCGAATTTCTCTCTATTTATTTTGAAAATGGGAGAAATTTTCAAAGTTCAGTTCAATTGAAATTTTCTGGTAAGGATTCGGAGGCCCCCTGAGCTTGGGGGCCATAACGCTACGTCATAACATCTACCTGCATGCCAAATTTCAGCCCGATCCGTCCAGTGGTTTGGGCTGTGCGTTGATAGATCACTATGTCAGTCAGTCGCCTTTGAGTTTTATACATTATAGATAGATAGATTTAGATTTATTGAAGTTTTTTTTTACAGTGAAACAAGATGTATTCAATCCTGCCAGCGCTCACCATCATCTTCGCTATCGCGTCGCCAGCCGTGCGGCCCCAAAGAATGGTGAATAAATTCCAAGAAGTGTATGCGTGGAAACAGCTCACTTTCAATATTAATGGAGTCATTTGTGAGTATTTTTTAATATGGCTATTTCAAACTTAAGGCCTTCTCTCCTAGTGTCGGCCAATTCATCCATCTGCGTCTGGTAAATTAAAGAAATTGTAAATAAACTCAAAGTTCCACAGCGTGCTACGGAAAGGCTATGCTCAGTGGTTCTTTACGAGATCGGCAAGCTAAATTGGCAATGGGCAGGGCACATAGTACGCAGAACTGACGGCCGATGGGGCAGCAAGGTTCTGGAGTGGAGGCCACCGACAAGGTGGATCGACAACCTCATAAAGGTAGCAGGGAGCCGCTGGATGCAAGCTCCCCTATCCGTCCCCCGGACACGATCTGAGCCGAGGTCCGAGCCTACCGTGGCGCCCTCAGGCCGCGTCCGTAGTCCCCTCGATCGGGCCCACTAGAGAGAGCCCGCCGTAGGCTGGACTTCGGTCCAACACCGCGGTGGGCAACCCTCTAGTTGGGTTCGCCGCTGATCGGGCGCCTTATGCGCTCGATATGGCCCGATCGCGAACGTCGGTCTGCCAAACGGCTAGAGTACCTTCTGTACTCGCCACTCTGCCCGGTGAAGCTGGAAAAGCTCCTCAAGCTACCAGCGCGCGTCCAAAATGGATGCAAGCTGCTACCAACCGATCATTATATGGCTGAAATTATGATGATGATGATGAAGGCTTTTCTGCTAGCTTCAGCCAAATCATCCATTTGTGTCTGGTAAATTAGTGAGGGTCGCGCTCCTGCAGTGGAGACTAAATGACCTGATGATGATGATTCGATGATCCCACTTCCCTTAAGTTTCAGTAAAGTGGAACTTTAATATGTAAGTTACAAATACTTATGTTCCATCATAAATTATTTTGTGGGACATATAATATCACCAGTATTATACCTACATACTTATTTGATATCTTCGACTGTGCTTCATTTTTATGCATTTGGGTTTTTTGTTTTGTAGCTTATCAGACGAACTTTATTATTATGTTAAATTGCATTGGGAAAGCCGTAAAAAATATCACAGCGAGTATTTTTTCAGATAGTGGGTTATTTTTTTGACTGTGTTTTAAAAACAAACAACGAGCCAATTTACAATATTAAACCATTTAACTTATCGTAATTATTGAAATCGTAGTACCTATTGGAAAAAAACTATTGAAAATATAATTCATGGGTTACCTATCCATTTCTTATGTTTTAAAGGCTAAGCCTTATTTTCGCGCACCATAATGTCATTACACTATTAAACTTTACAGTTAAGTGTGTGTGCGTATTTTTCTATGAACGAATTAAATTATCCACGTAAGCCAATTTAGATAGCGGCGGATAGAAATAATCAAATATGAAAGAAACACGAGCCGGAAGACGTAGTGTGGGCAGGCCTCCCACTTGGTGGACCGACGATCTGGTGAAAGTCGCGGGAGGTGCCTGGATGCGGGTGCAGGACCGTTCTTTGTGGAAAACATTGGGGGACGGCTTGTCCACGTCCAGCCGTGACGTCATTTCAATTTGGCTGAAACGAACTAACTGATTCTGAGTAGCTTCTAAAGATTTGGCAACTATTTCAAAGACACCCTATATTATACAGACAGAGGCTTTGTATAGGGTCCCGTACAAACCTGACCTTCACTGGTTGGGTTATTGGCGGTCAAGCTGTAGATCCTGGCTACACAGGAGTTGCAGCGGTGGGAACGAGAGGTGGGAATAGTCCCTTACTAGGGTCCCGTAGGCCCCTTTGTACAGAACCCCACAAAACGTGAGATCCGCAATACTAAGCAGGAAAATAAGCAATCAATATTACGTCATAGATCGTTGTAAAGGTGAATCTTTTTATAATTACTTACATCTAATTTTAGATATTCACGTGCAGATGCGAGGTGCAATTATTATTTACCCAGTAAATATTGCTTACATTATTTAGTTTTTTATCTGTGGTTGTATGTAATATTCCTATTGGCCGTAGGAATATTACATAATGACCCTGACCTAGTAGTTGGGATCTGTTTGTAATGTGTTATTTCTAATATTTACTTAATTATGTATTGACAAACATAATCTATCTATACCCATCTATAAAAACATCATCCATTAATACCTACTTAAATACTAAACTAAAAAGCCAAAGTAAAAAAAACCACCTGCCCCGAAGCTGAAGGCATGGTATTCTCCATATCATGAAGATCATTTTTTTCTTGGGAACCATACGGGAAACTTATGGTTTAGTAGATATTGAAGATAATAAAGGGGAGGTACAGAAGATCAAAAGAAAAAAAGTTTAAAATTTCTTGTCTAATCAGCGAAACTAGCTACTGAACGGATTTTCATAGGGTTTTCACATAGATTAAGCTTTGTTTCATGTAATTCGGATGATGAGATAAAATCGACATGTTTTGTTTTACATTGAAGAAAAAGAGCTATTTCCACAGCTTTTTATTTCAACTTTTGTTTCAGTGGATCGAGACCGCGATAGCCCGGTGGGCTTGGAAACACAGTCTGAGAATTCGTGGGTTATGGGTAAGAATTTTTATTTCTTTTCAAACTTTTAATAATATCAATTTACGTCAATGAACTGGCATCAAACTATAGTCTGGTCCGGGAGCACGTAGAATTTTGTCCAATGACCCCAAGGTACCCATCCTTATCGCTCGCGCGTAATTATGTTGCTGTCGCGCTCGCACACTCACTGCGGGCGCCCGTCCCACCAGTCGCGATAGCAATATAAACACGCGCGAGCGATAAGGATGGGTAGCTTGGGGTCATTGGACAAAATTCTACGTGCTCCCGGACCTAAATACCTACTTAATAACTGAAAATAATTTAATTATTTTATTTCTAATCCGCAGAAAGTTCTGAAGAGCAATCGGGAACCGGTAAGTAAACAAAAACATAAAGAAATGTAAATAAAACATTATTATAAATTACGTATTAAAAACCGTGAAACAAACACAAAAAAGTCAAAAAGTTATAGTTATTTATTTATAATAGCAATTTGAAAAGGGTACATAGGCCTACCTATTAATTTACAGTGAAATGAACGAAGAAAAACTTAATGACTAAAAAAATACTCTGTAAAAATAAATTATTATAATAAGTTTTTTCGTTTCTTCTTCAGGTTCTTCAACCCAGCAATCCAGCAGTAACAGTAAGTACTTATTTTATTAATAACTTTAACTTTCGATAAAACTTTTTCGTGTGCATTATTTACCCCGCTCTACTTAGCAGATATTAGTTTATCGTGAGGAGAAAATTATTCACAAATTCGTACAAATTGAAGTTTAAAAGTTTTTGGAAAAATACAGATTTTGCTGGAGTACCTAATGTTTAAAAAATTGCCCTGGCAATACATTACACGCCTTATGATATTGTCTTAGCAACATTTGTCATAAAAATGTTTTAGTGGATTGTTAACGTTATTGATGAATATGAATGAATAGTGAATACCTATAGCGCAGGAGTCACACTGGAAGCCATATTGTATAAATAATTATCTACCTACTTGTCATTAGCTTATTACTAACACTAGATTAAGATTATCATGTTACTAACACATATGGATACGTAATGTCTGAAATAAACGTTTTATTATTATTATTATTATTGAAATGGTATTTACGAGTACCTACTAGTGAGTTTGGCAGAATAAGATCAATAGTCTTGTAATTTAATTAATGCCTTTGTTTTATCTTTGACAAGCTTCTAACTATACCTAATGAGGGTTTTCGCGTATGAAAAATCCGCCAGATGGCAATACGTAGACGCGAGGTCCAAACGCTGCATGATTGGATATTTTTGACATGACATTGACAGATATGCCAAAATCCACCAATCACGCAGCAGTCAGACCCCACATCCACGTCCCGCCATCTAGCGGATCTGTCATACGCGAAAACCCTCATTTGCACGAAGGATCGGCCGATACCAAATCGGTGTAATGTGCGCACTTCCATACATTTTCATACCTACATTCCGAACCAACCAACGATAGGCCCAATCTTGCATTTAGGTCGTGCTCCTAAATGACCTGATGATGATGATTAATTGCTATTTCCAGGTGATGCAAATCGCTTCTTCATCCAGTACAACAACGTTCCCATGGGCATGGAGAGAGTGGGAAATAGGCTGTTCGTCACCATACCCAGAAGACGTTATGGTGAGTAAATCAATATTTGAGAACATCAGGGTCATCAGGCCTCCCTAACCCGTCTGGCCAGCGTGTGGAGTGTAGGACAAATCCTCCATTTGCCTCTAAAGCCTGGTCCGTGAGCACGTAGAATTTTGTTTTTTTGCGACTGTGCGACGGGCCGGGCGCCCAGTGAGTGTGCGAGCGCGACTAGGGATATTCCGATACTAATAAATTAATACTTGGTATCGAATCGAATCAGCAAAACAACCGAAAACGAGATGAAGTTTCTCTTTATTTATCAAATCCAGTAGGTAGTTTCTCTTAAAAGCAACCCGTTTGCAGAATGGGATGACATTAAGTTGGTGTTTCCTTGTCTTTACAAGTATGCACAGCAATATTTAATTGTTGTTCAACATCAGTTCCTAGCGAGTGCCTTTTTTCCAAAGCCGGTGCAACAATGACACAAAACAAGGAACTTCAGATTGTCTTCAAAATACCTTGAACAGTTACTGTTTTTGGGCAATCTTAATGCTGAAGAGTTTTTTGTTTAAATTAATAATAAGCCTAATTGGTCGCGCCCCACGCATTCAGCGCCTCCCAGGATGGTGGGGGCACGAGCGGGGGCTACAATATATAAACGTTTGCGCGCCGCGCGGGGCCCTTCTCTTTTTGCTTACGAATCCATACTGTCGCGGTTTCTACTTCCATTGCTCTGTATCTACTTAAATATTTAATAGTAAACCTGTTATCTACCAGTCTACTTGAGTTGCTTATTCAAGATACCTAGAAGTCCCTACACACATACACATTTGCTGAACTATTGAACAGCTGGTCCTTCCTGGAAGAAACCGTCTTGACGAAGAAGCCGACCATTTTGGAATTGGATAACCTACACAGCCACGTGCCAAGTCAAAGAATGGTCAAAATACTGAGTGAGTCCGTTCCATAATCCTTTTATCATTCCTCTTTTCCTCTGGGATTAATTATAGATTCGTTTTGAGCCTTATTTTAATCATTTCATACACCTCAAATGTGAATTTAAGCCACGTGCACAGCTTACAGCATCAAATATTTCAATTCTTGTCATTTAAATAGGTCAAATTAATAGGTTAAATCTTTCCGATGCATAATTTACATTAAAATAAACGCTTATCGCACGGCCAGGCGGCCGCCTATTGTTCTCGCCCGGCCGGCCTTTTGTTCTCGCGGTCGGGCCGCATTCCTTAGCGATCTACGGCAGTTTACTGCATTTGCATATTTTAAGTAAACAACTTATCAATCTTTTAACCGATTTCTATATTTCTTCAACTTATTTCACCAAGCTTTATAGCACTTTAAGCCATGGCAGAACTTAAAAAGCTTTGTAAAACGCGCAGCAGCATAAAAGCAAAGCTCACGCACTTCACGAACTTCATTAATATCATAAAAAGTTATAAAATATTATCTCTTCCGCATAAAATCGAACTTAAAAATAGACTTAAGGTGATCGATGATGCTTACGAAGATTTTAATAAATTACAGACGGAGATCGAACTGCTATCGGATGATAGCGAGAAGGAATTTGCAGAACGGGAGCAATTTGAGAACTTATACTATGAGAACTCGGCCTACGCTCGCAGCGTGCTGGAGAACCCGCTGACCGTTGATGACCAGGCCGAGCCGGGCTCAAGTGCAAAGCATGACTTCTTCCGCCTTCCAGACATCAACCCGCCTTCTTTCGACGGAGATTTTCAACACTGGCTCGAGTTTCGAGATATGTATATTTCTCTCATACACAACAATGACAGAATTAACGAAATAAGTAAATTTCACTATTTACGCGCGTCTCTTAAAGGCAGTGCATCTTCGGTTATTCAAAGTCTTGAATTTACCGCTTGTAATTATAAAATAGCTTGGCAACTTTTGACAGAAAGATACGATAACAATAAGATACTAATTACAAATCATATACAAGCATTATTTAATGTAGAACAAGTTCAAAAAGATTCATCTAAATCATTACGCAATCTTATAGATGTCACTAACAAGAATTTACGTGCCCTTAGTGCTCTAGGGCAACCCACAGACCAGTGGGACATTTTAATCATTTTCATGATGGCAAAAAAATTGGACTTTCTTAGTAATAGACAGTGGGAAGAATACAAGAATACATTAACTGAACAACCAACTTTAAAACAGTTTTGTATCTTTTTAAATAACAGGGCTGAGTTATTAGAGACATTACATAGTAATAAAACAATTAACAAAAATACTAATACAGACACAATTACTCAAAAATCAAGATCTTTTGCAATAGTAACTGAAAACACTAACCGTAAACCTATGTGTCCATTATGTAAACAAGAACACTACCTATTTAATTGCCAAACATTCCGTACATTAGACGTTGATACACGCAACACAAAGGTTGCTTCTTGGAATAACGTGTGTAAAAATTGTTTACGTACTGGACATCAAAGTAAACAGTGCAGACTTACTCATTGTAAATATTGCAACTTAAAGCATAATACTCTTCTTCACAAAGATTTGGATAAAGGCAAATCTAATAATGTTGAGAACGTAGTGTTATCAACAAACGCATATCATCTATCTTCATCACCTGCTAAAGCTTCGCACGTGTTACTTTCCACAGCATTGGTGGAAGTAGTGGGCAGGGACGGGCGAGTCCACAACGCTCGCGTTCTTCTGGACAACGGCAGCACGTCCAACTTCGTGACTTCCGAGCTCTGCGAGAAACTGGGTCTGCCGCGACGCGTCACGAGCTCCACAATCATAGGCATCAATAGTCAGGTTTCATCCAGCACTTATTCTTGCTCATTAACCTTACAATCTCGCCATACTAACTATAAAACAAACATAACTTGTTACATCTTACCTCAAATCACATCATCATTGCCTTCAACGTTCATTTATAGGGAACACATACCCATACCCAACGGTCTTCAATTAGCCGATCCTTCATTCAATATTCCAGCAACAATAGACATTCTAGTAGGTGCTGAAGTCTTCTGGAATATTCTAGAAGCAAATTCCATATCCTTAAGGAAGAATTATCCAGTACTACGCGAATCAAAATTAGGCTGGATAATGTCAGGTAGCATTCTTCAAAATCCCACTTCAAGGAATACAAATCATTGTCATAATATTAATCATTGTAATTTCAGTGATTCTATTGAATCTCAGCTCAGTAAATTTTGGGATTTAGATTCCATCTCTCCTACTCATTCCATGTCAAAAGACGAATACAAATGCGAGTCAATCTTTAAAAATACAACAAAACGTGACAATGATGGACGATTTGTTGTAAAAATCCCTCTTAAAGATTCACCAGATACTCTTGGGGATTCATACAATATGTCAAAACGTAGGTTTTTGTCTTTAGAAAGAAAACTGCAAAATGATGAAAAAACTAAACAACAATATCATCATTTTATGCAGGAATACATAAATCTTAATCACATGACTCAAAACTCAGATTCATTTTCAAGTAAACTTACTTCTGGTAAATCCCAATCTCAAGTAAATAATTTTTTACCTCATCACGGAGTCATGCGCGAATCCAGCACAACAACCAAGCTCAGGGTAGTATTTGACGCTTCCGCAACTACATCCTCTAATGTTTCCTTTAACGACATACAACTTGTCGGTCCTACATTACAGGACGACCTCATATCAATCTTACTTCGCTTCAGACAACATAAGTATGTCGTTACAAGCGATATTGAGAAAATGTATAGAGCTGTCATGCTAGACCCATCCCAGCGATCACTTCAACAAATTATTTTCAGATTTACCCCATTGGAACCGTTACACACTTACACATTAAATACACTAACCTACGGTACAGCATCCGCACCTTACTTAGCCACGAGATGTTTACTTGCTCTGGCAGAGGAGTGTACAGACCCTCAAACAAAACGTGCTATAGCGCACGACTTTTATGTTGATGATTTTTTATCAGGAGGAAGCTCAGTCGAATCTGTCACAGAACTATGCACTAACGTTATACAAGCATTAGATTCAGCAAAATTTAATTTACGTAAATGGCAATCTAATAACCCTGAAATTTTAAAAAATATTTTAGAATTAAAGGATGACAAAGACAAAGCTTTAAATCTATCAGACTCAATGCCAAGTAAAACTCTTGGGCTCTATTGGAACTCAGAATCGGATAACTTATTTTTTGAATTTCAGCCAAACAAAGATTCTTTAATAACAAAACGTATAATTTTATCGACAATTAGTCAAATTTTTGACCCCATTGGACTAGTTGGTCCTTGCATAGTCGAGGCCAAAGCCATTTTACAAAAACTGTGGAAACTCAAGTCAGATTGGGATGACGCAGTTCCGACTGAGTTACAAATGCAATATAGCAATTTAATTACACTTCTTCCCTTGCTTAAAACTATAAAAATTCCTAGGTGGGTACTAGGTGATGATGCTGTTACTGTTGAGATACATACATTCACAGATGCCTCAGAACGCGCATATGGCGCCTGTTGTTATATTAAAACTATTACACGTGATGGGAAGGTATGCATTCATCTCATGGCTTCTAAAAATAAAATTGCACCCTTAAAATCAAGCACCATCCCTCGTCTTGAATTATGTGGGGCCTTAATAGGCACACGCCTCTATAAGAAAATTATTAAATCATTGACTATTCAATTAGATAAATCTTATTTCTGGACTGATTCAACTGTAATTTTAGGATGGCTATCTGCACCATCCAGTCGATTAAAAACATTTGTCCGAAATAGAGTAAATGAAATACATGAAAATACTAATAACCAGGTGTGGTGCTACGTGCCGTCAAAAGAGAACCCAGCAGACCTGGTTTCTCGTGGGGTGAGGGCTGATACACTCAGCGTGTCCAGTCTGTGGTGGACTGGCCCGTCATTTTTACATTCACTTAATGTTTCTTATCCTACCGTAAACCCGGAAACGCTTCCGGAGACAAATGATAATATTCTTCCGGAAATGTCCTTTGTTTCAGATGTATCTGAAAATGTAATAAATAACCTAATAAGTAAAATGTCAAACTTTTCAAAATTAGTCAGAGTATTAGCTTACGTAAAGCGATTTATAAATAACTTAAAACATAATGAAATATCAAATAATCTTCATTTAACATGTAAAGAAATATTATCAGCTGAAAACTTATTATTAAAATGTTCACAGCGCGACATGTTTCCGGAAGAATATCACATTCTCAAATCAGGTCAAAGTTTACCTTCAAAAAATAGATTGCTTTCGTTGTCACCATTTATAGACTCTGATGACGTCATCCGTGTCGGAGGACGTCTAGATAATTCATTTTATACTTACGACATAAAACACCCAATATTGTTATGTAGTAAACATAAACTTACTAAACTAATTATGGAAAAACAACACTTAATTTCTCTTCACGCTGGCCCTCTTCTTTTATTATCTCAAATTCGGCAAAAATATTGGCCGCTAGGTGGCAGGAACTTAGCTAAACAAGTGGTAAATTCATGTGTTCGTTGTGTTAGACAAAAGGCAAAAACTACACAACCTATTATGGGAAACCTGCCTAAAGATAGACTACACTTAGAATATCCATTTTTAAATACAGGTGTTGATTATGCCGGGCCAGTGATGATTCTCAATCGAAAGGGACGTGGAAGTAGACTTATAAAAAGTTATATATGTGTCTTTGTTTGTTTTGCAGTCAAGGCCTTGCACTTAGAGCTCGTCTCGGACCTCACCAAGGAATGCTTCCTTGGCGCACTGGACCGATTCATCGCTCGGCGGGGGAAACCACAAACAATATATTGCGATAACGGGACCACGTTTGTAGGAGCATTTAATTATTTAATGAAACATTGTCGTAATGATATTCAAGGTATACAATTTAAACATATTCCTGCTTACACAGCACATTTTGGCGGTTTATGGGAGAACTCTGTGAAAGCTGTTAAATTTCACTTAGTTAGAATTCTAGGACGTTCACATTTGACTTATGAGGAGATGATTACTTGTTTGGCACAAATAGAGTCTATTTTAAACTCCAGACCCCTCACACCTATCTCAAGTGACCCATCTGATCTTACCTATCTCACACCCTCTCACTTCCTTATTGGTCGGTCTCTCACGTCAGTTCCACACCCTGAAGTCGGTGAAACCAACATCACTCGTCTTCAGAGATTTCAACGGGTCGAGCTCCTCAAACAACATTTTTGGAAAAGATACGCTAATGAATATGTATCTCTATTACAACAGAAAACCAAATGGAAATCTTCATCTGGCAAGCTGCGGTCCGGGGCCATGGTCATCATTAAGGACAAGGCCGCACCTCCTATGATGTGGCAGCTGGGTCGCATCGTACGGCTCATTCCTGGCAACGACGGGATTGCAAGGGTTGCTGACGTTCAAACGTCAAAGGGCATAATCCGCCGAGCCTACAACAACATATGCCTTCTGCCAGTGGATGCAGTTGAAGAAGAAGCATCTTCAACGGCCGGGTGCATGGTCGCGCCCCACGCATTCAGCGCCTCCCAGGATGGTGGGGGCACGAGCGGGGGCTACAATATATAAACGTTTGCGCGCCGCGCGGGGCCCTTCTCTTTTTGCTTACGAATCCATACTGTCGCGGTTTCTACTTCCATTGCTCTGTATCTACTTAAATATTTAATAGTAAACCTGTTATCTACCAGTCTACTTGAGTTGCTTATTCAAGATACCTAGAAGTCCCTACACACATACACATTTGCTGAACTATTGAACACTAATAAACATTTATAATAAATAAATAGTTGTTTTCTTCTCAATTTTGTTTAAATTATTGTCCTTCAACGTTCATTGATAGCACACTCAAAATAATAAAACAAAATAAAAGTTCCAAAAAGTATCGATATCAGTAACTATCGATACTTTAGGAGTACTTATTTAAGTAGTATCGAAAAAAGATTTGAGTATTATCGAAATGAGTAGGTATCGATACTTAGGTGGTATCGGAACATCCCTAAGCGCGACAGCAACATAATTACGCGCGAGCGATAAGGATGGGTAACTTGGGGTCATTGGACAAAATTCTACGTGCTCACGAACCAGGCTTTAGTATTAGGGAGGGTCGTGCTCCTGTAGTGGATACTAAATTCCCTGATGATGAATCAAAACAACGATTCTATATTTCAACTAAATAGTTCGTCCTATGTTCTTCTGATTAATTTCGTTGCGGGTCCAATGACAGTTTACTTTCCCACGGGACAAACTTGACCTTCACTCAGTGGCGGATTAACGTATAAGCACTACAACCACGTGCTTGGGGCCCCTGTTCTCCAGGGGCCTCCATCCTCTGCTGGCGCGCCAGCTGAGGATGGAGGCGTTTCATTTCATACCTACATTTTATCGAGATTTAGCCTATGTTACTCGTAAGTAATGTAGCTTTCAAATGGTGAAAGAATTTTTAAAAACGGTCCAGTAGTTTTTGAGCCTATTCATTACAACCAAACAAACAAAGATCCTCTTTATAATATTATAGTGTAGATAAAGTAAAGTGCGTTTTCCCAAATATACAAGTGGCGTTTAAAGAAAGAAAGAAAAATTTATTACGATGAACATCACTTACACCTACATGACAGAGAAAAAGACAGAAATGGCACATAAATATTACAAGGAAATAAAAAGTGAACTGAGCAGTGAGCAGTGCTATCCTGTCGCAACAGCGATGCCCATCTCAATAGGATTCCACTCAGCATATGCCGTGGCCCACGGTGGGGAAGGCCACGACACTGGTTTTCAGTGGGCCCCATGCCGAGTGGAAGTCACTGACACTAACCTAAACTGCATATCAACAAGGCCGTTTAAATATAAATATATAACAATAATAATAATGTGCAAACATTTGTTGAATAAACATAATTACTTATAGTAAATTAATCCTTCAAGGCCCGCGAATCTAGACACAATAGATAATCAATTATTATGACATTAATTAATGCCGTCTGAGACTCAAGCAGTTAAAGATGCTACATAATAAAATAATACCCGTATTAAAATAATAATAATTGTGTATACAGGGTGTCCCGTAATGCAACGTCAAGCCGGAACTGGGTATTGAGGCAAGTTATGCTGGTTATCAGAAAAATATAAAAAACAATCTATGTGGCATTTTGTCAAAATAATAGGCATTTAAAAAAAAAAACAAGAAAATCTACTCCCGGTGACGGTCTTTTTACTCGTGTTGCCACAAATCTTCACTTTTTCCAAAATTTTTTTTTGTTAAGTAACCCTGAATAATGCTTCTCTAAATTGTTATCAAAATTACGAAACCAGCTGCTCCAGCTTGGATGAAAAAAATATATTATTCCCAAAAAAAAAAATTGAAAATAAAAATTTTACCTAGTTTAAACTGACTGTACTGAAAAAAAATTGTACTACGCGAGTATGGCAAGTGACGTCATAATTTGGCGCATTTAGTAAGGATTCCAAAATGGTATAACACTTGGTAAATTCTTGCTGTAATTGTCGACAATTTTTGTTTTTTTGGAAATAATCCCGTTTTTAACTTTATCTACCTTGGTTAAAAATTATTATTCTAATGTGCCCAAAATTCAAGTTTCTGGATATCCGTAACCGTAACTGATACTATCGGATATCCGAAATAAAAAAATATCCATAACCGTAGCCGAAACTGATTCAAAAGTTACGGATAGTTTCGGATAAAGGCGGAGTCTTAAGGGTACAATAAATTCCAAACAGAAGCATTATTCAGGGTTACATAATAAAAAAAAATTAGAAAATGTGAAGATTTGTGGCAACACGAGTAAAAAGACCGTCACCGGGAGTAGATTTTTAGTTTTTTTTAAATGCCTATGATTTTGACAAATTGACACATAGATTTTTTTTGATAACCAGCATAACTTGCCTCAACACCCAGTTCCGGCTTGACGTTGCATTACGGGACACCCTGTATGTGTATATATTTATAAATATATATATTAAAATAAACATGCGATGTGAAAAAAGAAGAGAAACAAAAGAAGTGTGCTAGTGTAAGACTATCATTGTGGTTGCGTTTAGAATCTTTTACAGCTTAATGATTACTAACTGCTTTGCTGAACGATCCTTCTCACAACTAAAAAGGTTAAAAAACCCGCAAAAAATCCGTCCAGACAAGCTTAATTATTTAGCATTAATGTGTATTGAGGCAGACATACTTCGTCAGATATATTTCGACGATGTACAATCTCGGAGTTTGCTCTGATTAAGGCAAGGAAAATAATGTTTTAAATTTTTACATTTTACCTACTACACTTTCTATTTTGATGAACTTTCATTTTATACTTTATACCTTCCATTCCATTCCTTCCATTTCCATTCAAGCAATAGAGGGCCTACACAGGCTCTGTGCTTAAGGCCTCGGATACTCTTAATCCGCCACTGCCTTCACTGGTTGTGTTATAAGTTGTAGATCCTGGCTACACAGGAGTTGCAGCGGTGGGAGCGAAAGGTGGGAATAGTCCCGTATTCTTTCTTTCAATTTTATTAGTCTACTAGCGGCCGCGACTTTGTACGCGTGGATCCCGTTTTAACCCCTCAAGGTAGAGATGGGTTATGATTTCTGATCCTAGTATTTAGATTCCTAGTATTTATTAATACTCGATCCAAATACCTGTTCCACCTAGTACATAGTAATTTAGCATACTTGACGCGACTAGTGCGGACTAATCCACGTAATATAACTTTAAAATACAATTTTCTTTGAAAAGATACAACCGTAGTATGAATAATGCAATTTAAAATTGAATAATAATTCCTCCCTTCATACTTTAACAGGCTTAGGACTGTCAACTTAAAAGATGGCGTATTTAAAAGATATCAATTTCACAAAAATATTTAACATATTTTTTCTTATTTACATGAATATGGTTTGACTACGTTTGTGTGCGTTTGCTTCGTCGCGCTCAAATTTGTTTGGTCAGACAGAGACGGAGTGAATCTCTACGTTCGCACATAAGCTTAGCGAGAAATACTAGGTGCGCGTAATACACGACTACGGATTACGCAATAATAACCTCTATTACTTTGACGGTAGGGTCGGAAATCGTGTAATTTATAAAATACTAGGTGGATCAAGTATTTAAAAAATTGGAATAGGTGCCGCCTAGTACTGTAAAATACCTAGTGTGTGGATCTGTTCTAGTAAATATGTCTCATCTCTACCTCAAGGGCTGAATTTTGCAAAATTCCGTCTTCATGAGCACCTACATTCTAAAAGGAACCCCCATGCAAAATTTGAGACTCCTAGCACTTGTAGATTCTGAGATTTCATGATGAATGAGTCAGTAAGTCAATGACCTTTCGCTTTTATAGATATAGATTCTGTCTTTCCTTAGGAATCCCTTCCTCCATCAACTACATAGACCTGGACATGGAAACCAGCAGGTCTCCCGCCCTGAAACCGTACCCGGATATCCGGATGGCTCAGAACATAACCTCGGTGTACCGGACCCGAGCGGACTCCTGCGGCAGACTGTGGGCGGTGGACACTGGGCGATTAGAATTAACTGGTAAATACATAAAATAAATAATAATTGTTGGAGAGAAACACAAGAGACGTTTTGGTAAAGGTTTATGTGTCACTCGCAGTAGTTGTACAGACAGTGGTTCGAACAAGTCGGCCGTAGTAAGGACAATCTGTTCACGTGGGGATTCTCAGATGGCTCAAACTGGAGTTTTGCACTACCCACTGATTGTGTTCCCCAGTAGATGAAGCACATAATGTCGTGCCCTGCGTGGCCAAACAACTGCACGCAGGAAGATTTAATAAATGCTACTGACAACGCCACTCTTGGAACAGAGTTTTGGGCTGATACTGTGTAGGTTTGTTGTCGACACGACAAGAACAAGAATATGGTATAAACTAAGTCTAACCAATATCTTCTTCCAGGTACCCAGATTCAAGTGCAGACACCCGCCATCTTGATTTTCGACCTGAACACCAATCAGCTCATCCATAGGTACACTTTGAAAGCATCAGACTTGCCCGCCGAAGACACCCCTACAGGTAATTACTTTTAAATTGGCACCTGAAAAAATACTATCTAGGGTAAAACATGTCAATAAATGTATCAAAATATGTATGTAAAACAACTCGGGGATTGGAGGCCATATTATAGACTAAGAGTAGGCGCACACCGTTGATTTTTCATCGGCCGATAGTTTAGTCGGGCAGTTGATCAGTATGGGCATGTATGGGAGTGCGCACACTACGCCGATTCGATTTGGCCGATTCTTCATACAATTTGAAATCGGGCACAACTATCGGCCAACTAAAAATTAACGGTGTGCGCCTACTCTAAGAGCTAGTGAACGCCAGACCTACGTCATTTTGTAAAAGCTGAAAGTTTGTCAGCGTTTTCTATGTATAATATTTGGGCAATGATTAGAAATTGTTTCCACATCAACCAGACAATTTTGACAGTTCCAACTCCTTGCCAGACAGTTTTTTTGGGATAGCTGCCAAAGCCACGATGATCCATACTTCATGATGTACCAACATTCTGTCCTATATTGGGAGCATACGCTGACAAACTGTCAGCTTTTTTAAAATGACGTAGGTCTGGCGTTCACCAGCTCTTAGTCTAATATAATATCTTCCAAGATCTTCCATCTGCCTCTGGTAAATTAAGGAGATGGAGACTAATGGACATTATCAACACGGAAACGGATCGTAACCGCATTAACTCGAGGCGGTCAGTATTTTTTGTATGAAACTCCATACCCCAACGCAGATTTAACCACATTTGTGAACGTAAACGCCTCGCTTCGCGGTTGACAGCGCAGAGAAAGGCGATAGGGCAGTGGTTCCCAAAGTTGTCTGGGCTACGACTCATCTAATACAAGTTCCCAAACTCGGGACCTACCTATAGAAAATTTCGCCCACTGCCCAGCGGTTGGATCGGTAGGGTGGTGTGTCGTTCTACAGGCAGGGCCCACTCAATGTTCGCTCGCGACCCACCACTGGATCGCGACTCATAGTTTGGGAAACCCTGCGATAGGGTGTTGATTCCTTTCCGGGTTGATAGACAAGTGTGCTATGACCTTTTGCTCAATAATAAAAGTCAAAAGCAGTAGTCGAATTCCTAATAGGCTTTTTATAAGGCGCTGTTAAAGTAGATTCTATAAAAAATTGTCATCATCATAATCATCATTTCAGCCACAGGACGTCCACTGCTGAACATAGGCCTCCCCCAATGACTTCCACATCGCACGGTTGGTAGCGGCCTTCCTGCCAATTTTGTCCAATGACCCCAAGCTACCCATCCTTATCGCTCGCACGTAATTATATTGCTGTCGCGACTGTGCGACGGGCGGCCGCAGTGAGTGTGCGAGTGCGACAGCAACATGATTACGCGCGAGCGATAAGGATGGGTAGCTTGGGGTCATTGGACAAAATCTACGTGCTCACAGACCGGGCTTTGTTTTTTTGCTGCCTTATGCTAAAAAATTGTAGTGTCTCCAAATTATAGAACATCGTCCTCCTACAGAGGAGACTAAATGAACTGATGGTGATTGAAATGCTTCCAGGTCTAGCCTCGATAACCGTGGACATTACCAATAACAACTGCGCCGACGCGTACGCTTACATCCCGGATCTGACCAGCTTCGGGGTGATTGTGTACTCACTGAGAGAGAACGACAGTTGGAGACACACTCATAACTATTTCTCATTCAACCCGCTGCATGGCGCTTTGGACATCGCTGGTAAGTTCAGTTAGACGTGTTGAGACCACCAATCAGACCGCCTCTGTGGTCTAGTGGTAAGACCACCTGCTTCAGACGCAGAGGTCCCGGTTTCGATTCCCAGTGGGGGCAGATTTTTCTGTTCGGTTCGGTTGGTGGTAGGGCTTGTTCTAAGTCCGCCTGGCTAGCTACCACCATCTTACCTAAGTCTGTCGCCATAACAACAATGTTACCAGCATTCTTGTGTTCCGGCAGTTAGAGGTAAGATAGCCAGTTCCTCCGTGGTTGAGGATTCCGGGTGAAGCTCGCTTCCACCTTCGGCCTGATCATCACTTACCATCAGGTGAGATACAGGCCAAGAGCTTCCTCGTTGTGGATAAAAAAAAAACAATTGGCGCATTTTTTTAAACTGTCAGAACGAGACTCTCCCATAACTCTCATAGATTTTGTATGTACAAGCAAGCGGTCAAGATGGCTACACTGGATTTGCAGCGGTGGGCACGAGAGGTGGGAATAGTCCCGTTAGTGTTACTCCTTAGATTTGGAACCCAACTAACAGGATCTTAAAGTTCCTTCTCCATTGCAGACCAGCGCTTCTCCTGGAGAGACGGCATCTTCAGCATCACCCTTCTCCCTGGCTCTGGGAACTGCAAGACGGCCTACTTCCACCCCCTGATCGGGACTGACGAGTTTGCTGTGTCTACGTGCGTCTTAAAGAACAAAAATGCTATGAGCAATCGGGACTACTTTACTTACTACTATGTAAGTTTTTTACTAGCTCATCATCATCATCATCATCATCATCATCATTTCACGTCCACTGCTGAATATAGGCCTTCCCCAATTATTTACAAATTGACTGGTTGGTAGCGGCCTGTATCCAGCGCTCCACTCCAAAACCTCAGCGGTTAGAGCAGTTGCCAGGCGAGCGAATGGCCATGGTTTCAATTCCTACCTGAAGCAATATTATACCTACATTTTATGTTTCTAAAAATAGTGATGTCTAAAAAACCTACTTAATGCCTCCCCCAATGATTGGCCAGTTGACAGCGGCTTGCATCCAGCGTCTTCCTGCAGCTTTTATCTATCCACATTTCGGCTGAAATGTTGATGATGATGATGAAACTAAAGCCACTCTAAATCTACTACAGGTAGTTGGAAACCGCGGCGATATGACCCAATCCACCATGCACGACTACCATCCAGGGTCCCGAGTGATATTCTACGCGGAGATCGGCAGAGATGCGGTGTCCTGCTGGAATTCCGGGACTCTCATGAGACCTAGTAACATCGCTGTCCTGGCCCGGGAGAGAGTCGCTATGAGCTATCCTTCTGGTGAGTTATCCTTTCTAAAGCCCGGTCTGTGAGCACGTAGAATTTTGTCCAATTACCCCAAGCTACCCATCCTTATCGCTCGCGCGTAATTATGTTGCTGTCGCGCTCGCACACTCACTGCGGGCGCCCGTCGCACAGTAGCGACAGCAATAGGAGCTACCCGCTTGGGGTCATTGGACAAAATTCTACGTGCTCGCAGACCAGACTATAGATCAAGTAGTTACTTTTAGCAAATGACTAGGAAGATACAATTAATCGTCTTTGATACCAGACTCATGGGCGTACCTACCCAGCTTCTGGCCTAGAAGGGAAAGATTTATTAGGTCAGAACTCAGACCGTTTGACTTAGCTCCTTCAAAGCGAATCTGCGAGATTCTGCCAGATATTCAATCCAAATCCGTCAAAATAATTTAAAAACGGTCTTTAGTTTAGTGAGTTTGTAATTTGTATGGAATCCACTAAGGAATACGGTCATGTCAATTTCCAATAGTGCCAACTGTTCAGTATAAAAACGATAGCCCTCAATGGTTGAGTTAACTACGGATCAAAATACTGTCCCTAAGCGTGAAAAGGTAAGTCTACAGACAGACAACTGGTTTCTGATCAGTATGAGGCCGTAACATAACAAGGAGCGTTACGGCCACTGGTATTCTGCAGACACCATTGGAGAGGGGCGCGTGGCCCACAGCGAACGTACAAGATATAATTAATTAAAAGAAAAAAAATAAGTAGACACATTTGAGCATTGTATGTATTTGTTTCCAGATCTCCACGTGACGGGAGACGAGGTGTGGGTGATGGCCAACACCCTGCCCCGCTTCGGCTACTCTCGCTTCAACACGAACGACTACAACTTCTTCATCTATAGGTAAATATTATTACAGCTTTCTACAGTGCCATCAATCATCCTTTGAATCTAAGATCTCAGTCATGAGTCTTTTCGAGTCTTTATAATAAGGGTGAGCCTACTATTTCATTCGTTCGTTTCAGCCTGCTGGACAAAGGCTCTTCCAACGATTTCCACAATAACGATGAATGGTACCGCAGTGTCTCAAGATAAAAGCCTTTGACCAGTGTGTGTTGCCAGTGTATACGGATCTGGCACGTATAGACAGATGACCCAAACTGAACTGTCCCACCAAACTCATTGGGCGCTACCATCGATCAACTAAATAGTTTCCAACATGGCAAAAATCGGAACCAGCGATCCGGTATTGACGGTGGCGCCCCGCTGTCAATGTCACGGTTAGGACAGTTCAGTATATTGGGTCTATAGTCCCTTACCTCATAAAAAGACTCAAGTTCACTCAAAGGACGATGGAGCGTGCTATGCGCGGAGTTTTCCTGCGTGATCGAATTAGAACAGCGCGTCGAGTGTATACAGATACAAATGTTTGCTTGCGTTGATTCAACTCTGTGGGCGACATAATATTATACTGCTCATTCCAGTGGAAGTTCACCGTTACTGACCATTTCCAGTAGCAGTTTTCCATTACTGCCCACTCCAATAGCAGTTCTATTGCAGTTTAGAAAAAAGAAAGAAAGATACATTTATTACAATGGACATCACACAAATAGGTACAGGCCATTACATAGACATGACAGTGGCACACAATAAAGGAAGTAAAAATAAAAACAAGAGTAAACTGAGCAGTGCCACCCATTCACAAATGAGATGCCCACTACAATGGGACCCCACTCAGCATATGCCGTGGCCCACGGTGACGAAGGCCACGGCGCTGGTTTTCAGTGTGCCCCATGCCGAGTGAGGGTCAACTCACGGACCATTTGTAAAATAAATAATAATAAGCTGACCATTGCCAGCAGTTATTTACTAACCATTCTTCTCCAGGGCCAATGTGCTGGACGCGATAGCAGGTACCATCTGCTCGGGTGTCTCGTTCGCCACACGAGGCGGCTTTGACAACAGCACCGACAATCAACTCTAAAGGATTTATTATTATTGACAATTATTAATAAACAATTTTTTTATTTGACAGAATATGTGTTATACGTTGCTACTCATTATTACTTATTTCACAGCCTAAAAAATTAAAGTCATTTTAATAAATGTTTTAATAAAATAAATTGTTAAGATATTTATTGTTAAATTAATGTTAAATAATCTGATGAGCTGTGCTAGCGACTGGACATGATTGTAACTAAAGGAACGACGTTTTGCTGGTCAATGTTATGACAAATAAAGTTTTATAATAATAAACATCGTGGTTTCATTATAGATAAATATAAGTATCTTCCGCCTACAGCTTTGATGGCTTTTTTTTTACACAGAAAATCTCTTAACCTGCTTCTCACCTGATGAAAAGTACCGATCAGGCTGAAGCGACCAACCACAGAGCTACTGTCTAATCTTACCTACAACTGCCGAAACACAATTTCTTATTTACTGCTACCGATGTAAATCATGGCTTTACGTAATCATACTTTATTAAAATCAAATCCAAATCATCGTAAAAAGATATTGACAGCCAAACTGTAGATCCTCACTACATAGGAGTTGCAGCGTGGCTCATCATCATCATCGTTTCAGCCACAGGACGTCCACTGCTGAACATAGGCCTCCCCCAATGATTTCCACATCGCCCGGTTGGTAGTGGCCTGCATCCAACGACTTCCTGCTACTTTTATGAAATCGTCTTTGTGGGTTTTGGCTTACATTTGACAGGTTTTTTTCAACAAAAGATATCTTCCTCCAATCACATTGCAGAATTGCATCAATTAATATGATTCATCAGTCCAAAGTACCTCTAAGATGACACCATCTATGAGTCAGGTAGGTACCTACTTCTTCCTCGGTCACTCACTCATGAGGATCGCGAGCGCGACCACATAGCATTCCTCCACAAACTGCGGTGTTGTAGGTAGGTATACAGGGTGTCCCTTTAAGTATGGATCGAACAAAAAGAATTGATTCTACGGCTAAAATGCAACTTTTCTACAAAAACAATATCAAAATCCTCAAAACCCCCTACTAATTAATTGGCTGATTTTTAGATTTGAACCTAAGGAGGTTCAAGAAAGGTCTTGAGGAAAGTCCATGCTAAGGACATCCTGTATAAATGCATACCTACAATTAACTAAATTGGTAAAAATAAATGGAACTTGAGGTTTGTTTACAGTTAAGCTGGTATAAAACATTATTACATACTCGTAAAGACATTCAGGATGGTATTTTAGATTGTTTGTTTATGAGACTGTTTTGTCTGGTAAGTGAATAAACAAGTTCAGTAGGTACCTCTAGCATGAACAACTTTCGTTTTCGAATCGTTTGCGTATTCGACAAAATTCGATACTCAACCTCGAAGGTCGATAATGTGACAATTTTGATTCTCAAAATAAGTTTCGTGCAACCACATCTCATACTAAGTTCACTTTACGACACGTTCACAAGGGCGCTGTTGTAGTTTTCGTACTAAATCTTTTGATGGCGTTTCGAATACGTCAAACTATTCGAACTCGAAAGTTTTTCGTGCTAGCAGTACCGAGTGGGTACTTTTTTTAAAAGAAAATTAGTAATTCGACCGGGTTGTACAAACGCCGTCGAATTAACTGCGCACCTCACTATGCGACTCTCCCTCGCAGAGCTTGGATGTGACAGGTGCGCAGTTAACTCGACCGTGTTGTACATAAAGTCGTTAATTATGTTACTGCTGGAGCGAGATCAAACGCGAAGCTCAAGACCGAACGCGATGGAGGACTGTTGTGGACGCCGCCCTCTGCCCCATCTAGAGGACATAGGACTTTAAGTCCAATAAATAAGTACCTAAAGACAGAAAGAAGAAAGAAAAAAAATAACTTTATTTTGGCAACAAAGACATACACAAAAAATGAACAAAGTTGCTAAAAAAGATCACCCACTCAGTAATATCTTGACAGTGTAACTGCCAATGTTAATATGACTTTGTTGATGTAGGTACCTATAAATAATTACCAACTTTATGAAGACAGTAAGGAAATTCAGCGGTTCAGACGAAAAACAGACAAACGTAAAAAGTTATTCTTGAATTAATTAGGATTAATCATTAGAAACCATCGAAGCAAGACAACCAAATAACGTCGTCGGTCCCATGATAAGTGTCTGTGTTAAACTAGATTTTCGCATAATTTATAGTTTCCGGTCTGTTTTAGTATTGTAAAATTATTCAAATAACTAACTGTTTTACGAACCAAATGCAACCAAATCATCAGATAAAATTAAATAAATCGCCTTAAAATATGTTAAAGATGCAAAAAAAATTGAAGTAGACGACGAATGGCAAACATGCGAACATCAGGCCTCCCCAACCCGTCTGGCCAGCGTGGGGAGTGCAGGACAAATCCTCCATTTGCCTCTGGTATTAGAGAGGGACGTGCTCCTGCAGTGGAGACTCAGAGCAGACATATCAACTCGGAAAGAGGTCAACATCGTATCGCCTTTCGCAAGCTGTCAATTGTAAGGAGAGGCGTTGACCAGATAGCGCCACTGTAGAATAAGGTCCTGTTACTTGCTAGTAGCGAAGACAGTGGCGTCAAGTTGTGAGCGCTAAAATGGTAGGAGGACTATCGCATTTGCACTCATCAAGATGGCGCCACTGTAGAGTAAGGTCCTGTCAATCGCCAGGGGTGCCAACTGTTAAGTATAAAAACGATAGCCCTCATTGTAAGGAGAGGCGTTTACGTTACGGTGCGGGTGTGAGTTGCAGTATGGAGTTTCATACAAAGAATACTGACCGCCTCGAGTTGATACGGTTACGATCCCTTTTCGGGTTAATAAATATTCGACGTCCTTAAATGACTATGAATACCAAGATTCGGTATATAGGTATGTTTGCTTTTGCGGCCTCAGGCAAAAGTTAATTAAACGAAACTGAACTGAAAATTTGACCCTCACCATCATCATTTCAGCCACATGACGTCCACTGCTGAACATAGGCCTCCCCCAATGATTTCCACGTCACCCGGTTGGTAGCGGCCTACATCCAGTACCTTCCTGCTACCTCTGCATGAGGTCGTCCGTCCTCCTTTTGGTGGACGTTCAACATTGCGTTTTCCGGTATCGTAGTTAATGTTACCACGATTCCTGAGTAAAAAGCTATAGATCGTGTCATCCACGAAGACGCGCCCCACCATTCTTCCGCCAATGTTTGAGTGTTATCGGTACACGCTAATCATCCATGAGTGCACACGCACACTACAATAATGACGCTCGTATTGGTCGGATCAAACTCCCCGCACCCCGCGCTTCCTTTCACCAAAAATTGGTGGGGCGCGTCTTCGTGGATGAAACAATCTATAAGTAGGTAGGTACTCTAACCTATTCTTGCAGTGACAGCCGAAGCCGAGGGCAAAAACTACTCTAATATTATTGATAACGATATTATTATTATTTCTAGTTTGTTTATGTTCACCATCTTCTTTGATGACTCATAGAATCATCGTTGAATATTTTCCTTATGATGATTTGAGTTAGGTACATTTGTGATTTGCATACACATGGTTAAATGAAAACGTATATAAATCATTTTTATGGTAATGACTACTTACGTGCGGGCAGGCCCCCCACTAGGTGGACCGACGATCCTGAAGGAAGTGCCTGGATGCAGGCAGCGTAAGACCGGTCGTAGTGGAAATCCTTGGGAAAGGCCTTTGTCCAGCAGTGGACGTCGTTTGGCTGAAACGAACGAACGAACGACTACTTATAAGCTACGCACAGCAAAAAGACTTATGCCTGTATTCACAAACATTACTATGAGGTCTCGCAGTGCGCGTGGACGCACATGGTGACACACGAACCAATCACAGAGCTCTATTCATCGCTGTGCGTTCGATTTGCTGCTTCACATAAGCAAGCATCGTTTGTGAATACGCATGTTTGTCGTAGTCTAGTGGTAAGATCACCTCATAGAAGTCCCGGGTTCGATTCTTAGTAGAGTGTTGGGGAGGCCTGATGTTCGCATATTTGTCCCTTGGTCGCCTCATACGACATCCACAGTACTAGCTTTTGTTTAGTCTATACTTCTATACTATCTATACCTACCTACCTACTAATTTATAAATGCGGAAAAAGTAACTCTGTCTGTCTTGCTTTCACGCCTAAACCACTAATCCAATTTCGATGAAATTTGGCATAGAGATATTTTGAGTCCCAGGAAAGGACATATGATAGTTTTTATCCCGGTTTTTGAAACAGGGACGCGCGCGATAAAGTTTTTCTGTGACAGACAAAATTCCACGCGGGTGAAGCCGCGGGCGGAAAGCTAGTTACCTAAAGTAGATAATATGCCTAGTTACTTCCAGCGGCTCCAATGACAGTTTAACTTTCCCCCGGGACAAACTTGACCTTCACTGGTTGGGTTGAGCGGTCAAGCTGTAGATCCTGGCTATTCAGTCTCGGTGTGAACGAGAGGTAGGAATAGTCCCGTAGTTGTACATACAACTTATTACACATTGTTATGATTATTAATAATTATTAATAGCATCAAAAGCTTCAATTTACGTCAACAAAACCACATGACGTAGGTACACCTATGACGTTAAATGCCTCAAACTTGTTGCATTTTAATGCGCAATAAATAAAACATTGAAGCAAGTATTTTAAAATAAAATAAATTGTTATCGTAAGAGGCAACTAAAGGCCAGTTTATCCGTATTTTGATAATGCGGTTAAATATTAACGAAAATGTAAACTAACAGTTTAAAAAAATTGAAAAGCAATGCAACCTCTATGAAAGACATAAAGCTTTTCATAAAGCTTCTAAAGGAGCTTTCACAGGTTTCAGCAAACGTGGTCGTCCCAAGCAAACTTGGCGGCGCACTGTAGCAGACGAGGCGAAGAAAAGCGGCAAGACCTGGAGCGAGATTAAACGCGAAGCTCAAGACCAAACGAGATGGAGGACTGTTGTGGACGCCCTCTGCCCCATCTAGGGGACATAGGACCTTAAGTCAAGCAAGTCACAGGTTTCAGTATAATTTTAACCCTACCACTGCAAGACAGTAAAGTGGGCCAATACTGAGAAGAAACAGAGCAAGAAAGTCGCCAGTTTCCAGAAAATTACCTATTGATTTTGGGATCTTTTTTATAACCTATTTTAATTTCTTTAGGCTGACATGAAAATGATTAAAAATAATTTCTCCTTTTTAAGTGATCTTACTTTCCGCCCGCGGCTTCGCCCGCGTGGAATTTTGTCTGTCACAGAAAAACGCGCGCGTCCCTGTTTCAAAAACCGGGATAAAAACTATCCTAGTATGTCCTTTCCCGGGACTCAAACTATCTCCCTGCCAAATTTCATCAAAATAGGTTCATTGGTTTAGGCGTGAAAGAGAGACAGACAGGCAGAGTTACTTTCGCATTTATAATATTAGTATAGAAGTATAGATTATTACCTATTAGATATACCTATTAGACAATAATAATTGCCGGACTATTATGATGAAAACTCCTGCTAAATGGCTTGACTGATTATGAAATTTTATGGACTAGAATGTAAACTATTATACCCCTATGAGATTAGGGGTTTTCACGTATTCGAAGAAGTGATAACGGGAAAATTGTATCACTAATGACAATAGGCTATTATGTTACTAGTTTCCTAAAAAATAACTTTTAGTCCGTCAATTACATAATAATTATCAAAAAATATTGGACACGTATAAATTTGTTATTTGTCAATCAAACAAGTTTTTACGAAGTTCTGATGCGTTGAATTTCCGCGTTACGTCACAAAGTGCTACACTTTTAAGCACGCCTTGACGTCACGGGCCTCTTATTTTGAACTAGCATGCTTTCTCTTAAAATTTTTATTAGTTTGAAAAAGGGAAAAATACGTGTCAAGTATTTTTTGATAAGTTAGCCGACGGACTAATTCAAACTCTTGCATTTTCGAAAGCTGTTATTTTCACATTAAAACAGACATTCCAATTTTATGTATAAGAAGATTAGCTAATGAATCGTACGTGCTGCCCAGAGCATCGCTTGATACAAACATAATACACAATCTGGTTTTAGACCAGTACCGGTCTGGTTTCCCATCAAACTGGACGTGTTTGTTACGTTTAGTTCGTATACAAGACCTTTTAAGGGCAAAAACTTTTTGGTGTTGTGTTTTTTTATCTATGCAATTTTGTTTTTTTCGGATGCCATGGAGTGTAATTTAAAATAAGTCCTCTTTGGTAAGTGGTCCTATTATTTTAAGTGGTTTTAATTACAATAATTTTGTAATTAAGTAATTCAAGTTCAAGGATTTTAATTGAGATTTGGTACGGTTTGTATGGAAACTCGACTTGGAAATAATCTTGTAATATTTAAAAAAAGATTCTGGCAATTGATACGGAATTTTTGCGCCGTTTCTTCTTAGCACTGGCCAGTTTATTGTCCCGAAGCATAAGGTTATAGAACTTACTAGGACTTCTGAATTTTATAAATAACTTCACTTTATCAATCACTCTGTTACCCTTAAGGAGCCTATAAAAGTCCTATGCCCGTTTTCACCATCAATCCCTCATTTTTAAGTGACCCCTATGGTAACACATACTAGGAATTTTGTTTTCAAAGGGGTCACTTAAAAATTACTGATTGATAGTGAAAACGGGCATCACAAGCTTTTTGCCCTACCAGCGCTTCGAGACAAACATTTGGCAAGTGCTGAGTAGAAGCGCCGCAACAAATTAAATTAAATTAAACTAGGTTAAATTTAAATAAATAACAGTTAGTAGACTTATAGATTTAGAAGCTGTGTTTTGAATTCTAACGCTTTTATGTTAATTTAAGATGCTAAGATGCGAATAGTTTATCTCGTTTTACCGAAAATGACTCTACACATAAAAATGATCGTACTTAGTACCTTTTTGGAACGTTTTTTTTTACTTTTTTCAAAAGTTACGTTAGCTTACAAAAAAGTTTTGTTTACTATGTAATGTTAATACTACAACATGCAAAGATTCAATAAAAGTCCCAATTTAATTGAGTAAATAAATTCAATAAAAAATATTTTAAGAGTGCTTTTTAACCGGCTGCGTCGGAAAGAGCCCTATATTTTTTTAATTTAGGATGGATTTTAATAAGTACAACAACGGTTCAATCTAACTCTATACCAAAATTCATCAAAATTATTTCAACAGTGATTAAGAAACCAACAACGTAACTTTCGTGTCCAATCAAATTATGTATTACATACAATTATGTATTTCCTGTACTATAGGTTACGGCCTTGACTACTTATATGCAAATCATATGACTCGTTATTAACATATGATGCAACTAAAAAGATCACTGGGGTATTCGACTCGCTCTACCAATATAAATAAATCCCAACTAATATTATAAATGCGAAAGTAACTCTGTCTGTCTGTCTGTCTGTCTGTCTGTTACGCTTTCCCGCTTAAACCTCGCAACCGATTTTGATGAAATTTGGCATAGAGATAGTTTGAGTCCCGGGAAAGAACATAGGATAGTTTTTATCCCGGTTTTTGAAACAGGGACGCGCGCGATAAAGTTTTTCTGTGACAGACAAAATTCCACGCGGGCGAAGCCGCGGGCGGAAAGCTAGTAATAAATAAATATCGTTAGATTTTTTATACTGCGCCATCTAGTCCCAAACTAAGCAAAGCTTGTACTATAGATGCATATACAGTTACAACTCACGAAGGCGAGTAAGCTTTACTTGTGTGTGTATGACGTACACACACAATACTGTACGTGTACATGCACATCGTTCGTTCGTTCGTTTCAGCCAAATGACGTCCACTGCTGGACAAAGGCCTCCTCCAAGGTTTTCCACAAAGCATGCATGGTCATGCGCTGACCGCATCCAGGCTCTTCAGATCCTCAGGAGAATCAGAGTGACCGACATAGCTCGCAGAAGTGCTAAAATCAAGTGGCAGTGGGCGGGGCACATAGCTCGTAGAGACGATGGCCGTTGGGGCAGATAAGTTCTCGAGTGGCGACCACGGGCTGGAAGACGTAGCGTGGGCAGGCCTCCTACTAGGTGGACCGACGATCTGGTAAAGGTCGCGGACATGCACACTAACGATAGTGTAATGAGACCTATCAAAACATTTGAAAAACGAACATTAGCGAGCCACCACACATATTGCGACACATGTTAAGCTAACTCGCCTTCGTGAATTGCAACAACTAAACATAATACGGTAGGTAGTTAGTGTCACAGAAAACATCCAAACCAATTACAAACAGGTAAATTCATACACACAAATACATTTGTATTGAGCGGGGAATGAACCCGCGACCTCTAATACGAACCACTAGTCCAGTTTTAGTAAAAATGTGGCATTTTACTGAATATTCACGCGGACTTCTTGAGAGAATTTGAAGTGATGTTGCACTGTTTTGTTTCGTTTGCCTATAATCTATACGAATATTATAAATGCGAAAGTAACTCTGTCTGTCTGTCGGTCTTGCTTTCACGCCTAAACCACTAAAGTGGTTTTGATCAAATTTGGCATAGAGATAGGTAGTTTGAGTCCCGGGAAAGGACATAGGATAGTTAATTATCCCGGTTTTTGAAAGAATTTCACGCCGGCGAAGCCGCGGGCGGAAAGCTAGTAATATCAGTAATATAATCCACTAACATTTTTCATATTTGGTTAACCATAAACAAAACTGCTAAACATGAGGCTTAATTTTAGGGTTCAAAAGCCATTCCTTTCGTTCGTTTCAGCTAAATGGCCTCCCCAAGGATTTCCCCAGGTGCTTCCTGCGACCTTATCTAGAATATTTATAACTCAAAGGTGACTGACTGACTGACTGACATAGTGATCTATCAACGCACAGCCCAAACCACTGGACGGATCGGGCTGAAATTTGGCATGCAGGTAGATGTTAAATGACGTAGGCATCCGCTAAGAAAGGATTTTACGAAACTCCACCCCTAAGGTGGTAAAACGGGATCCACGCGTACGAAGTCGCAGGCGGCCGCTAGTCTAGAATATTTTTTAGCATTTTTTTTTACTTGTGTTTTTTTTTTCAGATCTTCGCCCTGAACACTCAAATGTGTGATGATGATTTTGAAGTTATTACTACAAGTAGCATTATTTTTAGTTATTAAAGATAGCAAGGCACAGAGAAACGGTGAGTTAAATTTTTATTATTATTAAATAGTAAGTAGAAATATATTAAGTGAAATGCTGCATTCATTAAGTCTGGTAAGACTTTGGAGCTTTAAAAAAAAGATCAATTTCAGTCAGATAATTACGTAAATCAGTAGCTTAAACATTTTTAACTGTAGAAGTAGGTACCTACACTTTGGTGCTGTTGGATTTCTTTCATGTTCCATGTTCATAGTTCTGTGAATATTGCGTGATACGAAAAATACTTTTTATACTAAAAGAAAAGTGATTTCCTATTAGCACAGCTAAGTAATTAATAATACTGTACCTACCTCTAGAATGAACAACTTTCGTCTTTGAATCGTTTGCGTATTCGAAACTCAACCTTCGAATTAAACGATAACGTGACAATTTTGATTCTCAAAATAAGTTTCGTGCAGCCATTTCTCATACGAAGTTCACTTTACGTTCACAAGAGCGCTGTTGTAGTTTTCGTACCTACTAAATCTTTTGATGGCGATTCGAATACGCAAACGATTCGAACTCGAAAGTTTTTCGTGCTAGCCGTAGGTACTGGTCTATTAAGGTCATAGCAGACATATCAACTCGGAAAGGGATCAACACCGTACCGCCTTTTGCGAGCTGTCATCGCCATTCGCGCGCTGTCAAACGCTGCGGTTACGGTACGGATGAGTGTTTCATACAAAGAATACTGACTGCCTCGAGTTGATACGGTTACGATCCGTTTCCGGGTTGATAAATGTGCTACGGCCTTTATAGCTGCTTTTTAGAATGCTTATCTTCAGGGTTTCTGATGCATTTTTATGGCTTTTCAGATGGGGACTCCTGTGTAGACACCTACACAGGGACATTGGGTGTGTGTAGACCGGCAGAAGCGTGTAAGCAAGCGAAGAACGACTATGAGTGAGTGAAACGAGACATGGGTAAAACTTTGTTGTAATTATTGAACACTCTATTCAAGTAATAAAAGTCTGGTCGCCGAGCTCGTAGAATTTTGTCCAATGACCCCAAGCTAGCTATTATATTGCTGTCGAGCTCGCACACTCACTGCGGCCGCCCGTCGCACAGTCGCGATAGCAATATAATTACGCGCGAGTGATAAGGATAGGTAGCTTGGGGTCATTGGACGAAATTCTACATGCTCGGCGACCGGACTTTAGTCGAGTAAAAAACCTAATAAAACTTGTTTCTTTTTGCAAATAGGCTTTTTAAAAGCACTTTTGCACGTCCCAGTATTAACCCTACCACTGCTTCGGGTGGGTCAAAATGGGTCAGTGCTGAGAAAAGCAGCGCAAGAAACTCAGTCACTATTGTCCGCCTCCTTCGTCTAGTGACAAGTAATTTAGTAGCTAAACGTACCTACTTGAGAACTCAGCGTGGGACGTCTACCCACAAGGTGAACCGACGACCTCATGGTAGCAGGAAGGCGCTAGATGCAAGCTGCTACCAACCGGGCGATGTGGAAATCATTGGAGGAGGCCTATGTTCAGTAGTGGATGACTTGTGGCTGAAATGATGATGATGATAAGTGTTTTTTCTCTCTCTAAAGCTTGGGTAGTCGATAGTTCGACACCATGTGTTTTGCTTTTTTTCTTCTTGTCGTGTCGACAACAAACCTATTCAGTATCCGCCGAAAACTCCGCTACAAGAGTGGTGTTGTCAGCAGCATTCATTAAATCTTCCTGCGTGCAGTCGTTTGTGCATTCACTTTGTTTTGCTTTGAAGTCAATAAATTCAGGATTTATCAGATTTTTATCACTTCAATCGACAATAATTAACTGAATATTTATCTTCCCCAGATTCAGTGGTATCAGACCTACCTTCTGCGAGTACAACGCATTCGGCCAGAACCTGGTATGCTGCAGAGATGGGAAGACCATCCTCCAGACTGCTAAGCCACGGACTGTTGAGTAAGAATCATCTTTTATCAAGTATAGTCCCCACTCCTGTTTCTTTGGAAGCGTGACCACATACTTAGTGGTGGACCGATGATTTATTGAAGGTCGCGGGAGGTGCCTGGATGCGGGCGGCGCAGGACCGGTCTTTGTGGAGCTCCTTAGGGGAGGCCTTTTTCCAGCAGCGGACGTCATTTGGCTGAAACGAGATTATTTATCAAAGTTAGCAAGCTGCTTGCCCTAAACCCTAATTCAGGACAACAAATGGCAATGCGAGATTTTGTATGGAAGGTGACCAAACCTTGTTTTTTGTAACTTACTAGAACGTTACGTATAATATGTGCCGTCTTTTATCGCGCTGATTCTGCACCACACTGCAGTAACTCCGTTAAGACTGAGTTTAGAGGAAGTTAAGTATCATGTTATACAGGGTGGAAACGATAAGTGATCTCACTCGATAATTTCTAAACCATACAAGATATCGAAAAACTGGTTCCTGATCCTGAAAGTGCTTTACGAGCTCTTTCAAACGGCACCAATAACAGGTTACAGAATAAACTGGATCTATCCGAAAATTCAATGTTTCCGGCTTCCATACATTTGGTACAGCCTCATAATATTAAAAACTACAGAAGGTATCGTAAAACCGGTTACTGATCCTAAAAGTGCTTCACGAGCTCTATTCAACGGTATCAATATTAAGTTACAGAATAAACTGGATCTATCCAAAAATCCAATGTTTCCATCCCCCATACATTTAGTACTACCACAGTCATGGCACCCATCTCTTGATACTTGATACAACACTTTATAGCAAGTAAAGCCTAAAACTAATTTTTTCCTTGAATAATTTTAAATAAAAATGCAATTTACGAGTTTTTTTTAGGTTCATTATTTAATTTTAAAAAATTACACTTAATATTGTGTGGTTGGCATACATTTAGTATGGAAGCTGGAAACATTGAATTTTCAGATACTTCCAGTTTATTCTGTAACCTGTTATTGGTACCGTTTGAAAGAGTTCGTAAAGCACTTTCAGGGTCAGTAACCAGTTTTTCGATATCTTGTATGGTTTAGAAATTATCGAGTGAGATCACTTATCGTTTCCACCCTGTATAGTAAGTGCTCGTAACTCAGTTCAGACTGAGTTTAGAGGTAAGTATCATGTTACACTATTTTGTAATAAAAAAACAAGGTTTGGTCGATGGCCGCGCGAAAAAAATGCGCCAATTTCCGGCATTGTCTTTTCGACTGGCGCTCAGAAGTGACGGAAGAAACTAAGCCAAATCTCTCAGCATCTTATTAAACAAGAAGTAAAATCAAAAAGGTGTAGTAACTAATCCTTTGTTCCACTTTTTATCTTCCAGCCCTCCCCCCGTGTGGACTGAAGCAAATGACAATAGAAGAGTGAGTGAGAAAAGTAAGTTCCATAATTATTATCCATAGGTACTTATCTACACTAACATTAAAATAAAACTACTGGACCGATTTGAACAGTTCTTTCCTCATTAGAAACGTACATATACAGGGTGTTAAGTAAATGGGTATATGAGCCGACACTAGCCCATGTTAACATAATATGTAATATTATTATGCATATAAATGGTATGGTGAAGTTAAAAAAAAAACTCAGTAAAACTCATTTATTTCTGTAAGTAGGCTTTAAAAAAGCACTTTTACACGTCCCAGTATTAACCCTACCACTGCTTCGGGACAATAAATGGGCCAGTGCTGAGAAGAAGCAGCGCAAGAAACTCAGACACTATTGTCAGCCTCTTTTTCAAAGGTTTACAGGTTTTCAAAATACATAGTCTATATATATAAAAATGAAACCCGTTTCGCGTTGTCACGGCATCACGTGTGAACGGCTGAACCGATTTCGATAATTCTTTTTTTTAAATGTTTGTGGAAGTCCAAGGATGGTTCTTACGGAAAAAAAAATCTCTACGCTAAGGCGGTACGAAGTTCGCCGGGTCAGCTAGTTATAAATATTTATGCGAGCTAGGCAGTTACGCATCCCAAACATTTTTATCTTTTAAATAATATCATCGACTTTATAGTAGCCCTTTTTCATTAAGGTACTTTTAATATGTGCTTTGAATTTATGAATGGGTAGTTCTACAACAGTTTGTGGTAATTTATTAAATAATTTAACACATTTCCCCATAAATGAATTCCCAATCTTATGCAGTCTGAAATTTGGAACGGCAAGTTTATTTTAGCAACGGCTAGTTTGATATAATTAGTAAGTAATTTGATAAAATAGTTCTGATGAAAGTGGTTCGAAGTTCTTCGGGTCAGCTAGTTTTGTCAGGCAAAATAACTGCATTTTATAGGTCCCACTCGGCTTTTAAAGTTCTAGATTACTAGTTTGTTGTTCCCTTTCAGATTGTATTCAATTTTCCAACGCTAATCTGGTTTTCTTTATCAATTTTCCTCTTTTTACTTGAGGAAAATATCCTCTTTTTATTGTTCGGAAACACCGATGGGTACTAAATTAGGTACCTAATCTCATCAAAGTAGATAAAGTGCTAAACGGATATGCATGTTTGTATTTTTCCCCGTGAAGTTTTGTTACCTACAAACTACCTATACCTAGGTATTACTTATGATATTCGGAGCAGAACGAATCCATCTCCAAAGAAGATTAAAGTCTGTCTTTTGCCCGCAATGGACAATAGCTCTCGGTCTAAAGGACCTGCTTCAGACGCAGAGGTCCCGGGTCCGATTCCCAGTGGGGGCAGATTTTTCTGTTCGGTTTAATTGATGGTAGGGCTTGTTCTAAGTCCGCCTGGCTAGCTACCACCATCTTACCTATTACCTAAGACTGTCGCCATAACAACAATGTTAACAGTATTGTTGTGTTCCGGCAGTCAGAGGTAAGATAGCCAGTTCCTCCGTGGTTGACGCTTCCGGGTGAAGCTCGCTTCCACCTTCGGCCTGATCATCACTTACCATCAGGTGAGATACAGGCCAAGAGCTTCCTCGTTGTGGATAAAAAAAATCTATCTCTCTTTCAGAATGTGACGCCTACAGCCGCAGCGTGCTATCGCGGGTAGACGCATCCCCTCTCTCAGTAGACAATGACGGTCTAACGTTCGTTGCCTCGAAGTGCCACTACACTAGCGTGGAGCTGATCATAGGGGGGGAGGATGCTACTAGAGGGGAGTTCCCGCATATGGTAAGGAATAGAACAGAATAGAATGTATTTGGCAAAATATTCTGGGGAAAGTCCAGCTGTGGACCTCATTTGGCTGAAACGACAATGTAGGTAGGACGTAGGTACATCTTATTTGTCTCAAAACGTCTCTGGTCATGCTCTCAAGGGAGATAACATCAAGTTTTTCGTTACTATGTAGATTAGTGTGTTTTATCCTTACTACTGGAAGACGTAGCGTGGGCAGGCCTCCTACTAGATGGACCGACGATTTGGTAAAGGTCGCGGGAAGAGCCTGGATGCGGGTAGCGCAGGAGCGTTCATTGTGGAAAACCTTGGGTGAGGCCTTGAAAAATTGTTTTGTGACTAAGAAGGAGATAAACCTAGTTTAAAATATTTGGTTCATCATATTGCCTGTGCAATACGTTATTAATTTGTTTTAAACGCAGCAGCAACCACTCAGCACGTTCTGTAGACCTGGAACATACGGTATTCTGCAGAAGATATGCTATAACCCAATAGGACGCTGGTATTCTGCAGAAGCTAATGTAAAGAGCGTCACTAACGCAGTAGGATTTAGCTGAGACACGTAATATGCTTTTTAAAAGCCTTATTCTATTGTTCCCAGGCAGCCATAGGCTGGGCCAACTTCGACGGCGGCTACGACTTCAACTGTGGCGGCAGTTTGCTCAGTCGTCGCTTCGTGCTGACTGCGGGCCACTGCAGCAAGGACCCGCGGGCCCGGGACCCCGCGCCGGCGGTGGTCCGCCTCGGAGACCAGAACATCGACTCCAGGGTCAACGACGGAGCCGACCCCATAGACGTGAGTAAGAGGAACTAGCAAAGGAAGAAGCTATAGGTACCTAAGCGGTGAACTAATCACCATTACAGCAAGCACAGTCACCAGTGAGAAGATGAGACGTAAGTAGAACGAACTGATTAGCAAAAAAAAGGTGTCAAATCATCAAATGGTGACGTAATGTATGGGTTTAACAGGCTACCTATAAATAAGAGCACAGCCAAGGATAGATACTTCTTCAGGATCTCACCATGTTGAATTATACCAAAGGACACTTGTACAACCTTTCTTGTAAGGTATGGCACGCTATATGTTTCAAGAAATGATGCCCTACGGGGACACAATCTCACCAAAAAAAGAAAGTACTTCAAATTTTGCAGCCTTTCTTAGAATTACAAGAGAGGGATGTTTACAGTGTCTATTTAGACGATATAATGTTTCTTCTTCAACCATCAGCAAAACCAAAATCTGTTTTCAATAAAAAGCCCCGTGTAGGCACCTAGTTAACTAATTATTATTAGCAGTACCTTCTTTCTTCCAGGTCCCAATCCGCCACATCCACACGCACCCAGACTACAAGTCGCCAGTGAAATACAACGACATAGCTCTTATAGAGTTGGCTACGGACGTCGTTTTCGAGGACGCGATCCGCCCAGCCTGTCTGTGGACCAAGGACGGCTTCAGGGATTATGAGAAGGCAATCGCTACTGGATGGGGGGTGAAGGACGTTGGTGAGTTTATTCTTAGGGTTCTGAAGGCAAGAACCGCCTCTGTGGTCTAGTGGTAAGACCATCTGCTTCAGACGCAGAGGTCCCGGGTTCGATTCCCAGTGGGGGCAGATTTTTCTGTTCGGTTTGGTTGGTGGTAGGGCTTGTTCTAAGTCCGCCTGGCTAGCTACCACCATCTTACCTAAGTCTGTCGCCATAACATCATTGTTATGTTCCGGCAGTTAGAGGTAAGATAGCCAGTTCCTCTGTGGTTTAGATTATAAATCCGAAATTAACTCTGTCTGTTTGTATGTCTTGCTTTCACGCCTAAACCACTGAACCGATTTTGATGAAATTTGCCATAGAGATAGTTTGAGTCCGAGAAAAGGACATAGGATAGTTTTTATCCCGGTTTTTGAAACAAGGTCGCGAGCGATAAAGTTTTTCTGTGACAGACAAAATTTCACGCGAACGGAAAGCTAGTTAAGCCGTGTAATGATGTAACTAAGCGAGTAGCTGTTCACACGTGTTTTGAAATTAGGACAGTCAGAGCCCCGATTACGGTAACTTTTAACGTCAACAATCCAGACACGCTTCTCGATTCTGCGATACGATTGGTCGTTCAACAGCGTACGTCAGCTGTTTTGACCAATCGTATCGCAGAGTCGAGAAGCGTGTCTGGATTGTTGACGTTAAAAGTTACCGTAATCGGGGCTCAGTTCAGTTCTATTGAGACTTCTTTTTCTCTAATCTGTGGACGTGACGTCAATCATTTGGCCGAGTGGCGAGACAGTGCACGTTCATACCTGCCGAGCGAGCGAGCGAGACAGTGCGGGGAAGCGGGAGAGTGGACACTCGGCCAAGTAAGTAGAACGGGATTCGAGCTACTGTTTCGCCGCTTTGCTCGACCGTGCACTCGGCCAATCACTCGGTGCTCTTCATACGCACCGAGTACTCGGCCGAGAGCACTGTCTCGCCCGATTACTCGTTACGTGTGATCAAGGCTTTTTAATAACTATTGAATTCTTGTTTCCAGTAACCAAGGAGACCTCCAAGGAGCTGCAGAAGGTGTCGCTCTCTCTGCTCCAGAACGAGCAGTGTGACCCGCTCCTCAACCACAACCGCAACTGGAAGGGATTCGTACCGCAGCAGATGTGCGCGGGGGAGCTTCGAGGGGGGAAGGATACGTGTCAGGTAAGTGACAGATAAATTGTAGCTAGCCGCATATACCTAGGTACCTACCAACCGGCCAATCTGGAAATCATTGGGGGAGGCCTATGTTCAGCAGTGAAAGTCCTGTGGCTGAAATGATGATGATGCTGATTCTGATGGCAGAGTCCCCATTGTCGTAAAAATAGGGTAGGTATACTATCCTGTTCCTGTCAAAGACCAGAGTCCAGACATGGGGTAGAAACGCCATTGCACCATACTTTGACAATACTGTTTTTTTTGTTCGGAGGACACGCAAAGTCTGCTTAAGCCATTGTAGAGGGATAGATGGTGGCGACTGAGACTAGCTTGTGGCCTCAGTTGTTAATAACCCACAAAATTGAAGAATTAATCTGCATTTAACTCAATTAACTTCCAAACAGAGACGGAAAGTGAACTGTAACAAACTCATAATGGAACGTCATAGCCCAATGTTGAAGATTTCTGACTGGCCAACTCGAAATTCGAGGAACGCGGTTCGCAAACACAAACGGAACTTTAGCAAGTCCCATAATTTTAGTTTTTTTTTTCAGGGTGACTCCGGCTCTCCCATCCAAGCAGCTTCAAAGCAGAACCCTTGCATCTTCTACATCCTGGGAGTGACGTCATTCGGGAAGCAGTGCGGGAAGACAGGCCAGCCGGCCATATACACGCGCGTGTCTAGCTACGTAGACTGGATTGAGAGCATCGTGTGGCCTGGAGAATGATCCGTTGGAAAGGCTAAAGCCTGGTCCGTGAGCACGTAGAATCCCGTCCAATGACCCCAAGCTACCCATCCTTATCGCTCGCGCGTAATTATATTGCTGTCGCGACTGTGCGACACGCGCCCGCAGTGAATGTGCGAGCGCGACAGCAACATAATTACGTGCGAGCGACAAGGATGGGCAGCTTGGGGTCATTGGACGGGATTCTACGTGCTCACGGACCAAGCTTTACCTATAATTTAGGACCGTGGTGTGAATCCTCCAAGTGCTATTTTAGAGTTCTAGTGCTTAATTGAGTCAGTGCCTGAGATGTGGGAGCGGCACGGGCGCGGGAGGGGTGACATTGATACCTTATTACGTGACAATACGTTACGCATACAAATCTGCAGGCCAGAAGCACATTTAGGCGATTATCACACTGCACCGCGCTCCGCCGCGGTACTCGGGACGACAGATTTAATCATTGTATGCAAATACCTCAGTTTGTATAGAAAACACGCGCGGCACATCACACTGACAACGCATCTGCGCGCGGGATTTTTTAGGGCTTGATTTCCTTTTAGGCTGACATCGGTGACCGACGTCAGCGGCGCTCACGATTAGGTACACACTAGTTCTATGTAATCATCTGCCGCTGACGACGGCGTTGCAGTGCGGAGCTTCATAGAACATTGTGTTTATTCGTACGCTCGACCGATGTACGCGACCTCAGATCATAGAATCATCTGAGTACGCGACCGACGTCAGCGTAGGAGGAAATCAAGCCTTATAATAATGTAATCACGCGGACCGCGGTGCAGTGTGATAATAATCGTCTTATTGAAGTCTCGCTGACATTTGACATCCCAAAAACACCCTCTCGTACCGTTTCATACCTCAGACTGAGTAAAAGCGCTAGACCTAAGATACCTCTTTCACTAAGATACAAATATCCAACCAGTGTTTTATGTAATTAAAACGATTTTAACTTATATTAAGAATAAGCCTAGGCGCAGACCACCGATTTTTAATTGATCGATAGTTGCGTCGGGCTGTTGATCAGTATGGAGATGTATGAAAGTGCGCATATTACACCGATTTGGTATCGGCCGATTCTGTATAAAGCCTGGTCCGTGAGCACGTAGAATTTTGTCCAATGACCCCAAGCTACCCATCCTTATCGCTCGCGCGTAATTATGTTGCTGTCGCGCTCGCACACTCACTGCGGGGGCGCGTCGCACAGTCGCGACGGCAATATAATTACGCGCGAGCGATAAGGATGGGTAGCTTGGGGTCATTGGACAAAATTCTACGTGCTCACGGACCAGGCTTTACAAATTAGAATCGGGCCCAACTATCGGCCAACTAAAAGTCGGTGCTAGATGGTCTGCATTTCTGCACCCAGGCTATGGGGTTTATAATAAGACTTATTATGAAGGAAAGAAGAACATAACGATAATTATAATTTCTACATGTTAGACTGAATTTAATGATTTCTTTCAAAGGTCAATTTTATATTAAAAGTAAGTACAATAAAAACCATATGAAAATGAATAACGATTTTTATTTATAATTGATATAAACATCTACTTACGTCTAGTAAATTTTAGATCTGTATTGGAATAAATAAATACATAATCCTTAATTTTACTTAAATCTAAAGATTTACAAATGGATGTAAGTATTATTACAGATTAGTAATCCTTTGGTCTAATTTAACTACTATTTTCTAAAAAGAGACACAGCTCACATAAAAATTAATTGAAGTCATAAAATTAGATTTTAAATTCAGTTAATAGTTATTTTTGATTGCTATGTGAATATTATTTAATTTAAAATCTCTAATTAGCTGACTGAGAAACAGATGCTACAGACACAAAAACTGAACTTGATGCCATATCTATAGCATTCTCTCCCAGTCAACTTTTGGTTGGTCAAGTTATCAAGTAAAGATTCGGCCAAACCGATCACACGCGATCAGCCGGCACGCCAGCTGTTTGGCCGAACCTTAACAATAAGAGTATGTTATAGGCCCTATCCCTTATTATTATGTACGACACTTCCTATAATTTCACCTTAGTACCCCATAATCTGGTGGTACAGTCAGACTCAAATACACTCAACATCAAATAAATCGCACCTTCCGCGACGCGAATTTTAAAGATTTTCTTCTGACACAATGCACCATTCCAACAATATTGGTGTTATTTGACAGCCCAATAAATAAACTTAAAGAAAAACACATTTAATTTTTTTATAAACAATTTACAGGTACCATAAATGTGACCTGAAAAAAAGGCCTCACTTGGGGCTCACCTGTGGGACCAAGTAGACCACTTTTCAACCGACTTCAAAAAAGGAGGTTCTCAATTCGACCCGTATGTTTTTCAACCGACTTCAAAAAAGGAGGAGGTTCTCAATTCGACCCGTATGTTTTTTTTTTTTTTCTATGTTTGTTACGCGATAACTCCGCCAATTATGAACCGATTTGAACAAATCTTTTTTCGGCGTATAGGTAATACCTCAAGGGTGGTCCCATTTAAATTTAATAATAAAAAAAAACAACCCCCAAGGGTGGAAAATTGGGGATGAACTTTTTTATACGCAATATCTCCGCCGATTATAAACCAATTTGAACGATTATTTTTTTGTTGAATAGGTATTATCAAAATGGTGGTTTCATGCGAATTTGAAGAAAATATTTCACCCCCAAGGGTGGAAAATTGGGGATGAACTTTTTTATACGCAATATCTCCGCCGATTATGAACCAATTTTTTTTGGTCTCAGTGTACTGCCTACCTTCAGTGGTAACATCAAGGTAATAATTAGTTAACTAAAAAGCAAGAAATAAGTAAAATTTTATAAAAAAAAATAAAACCGACTCCAAAAAACCTACACTAAAACGTAGAAAAATAATTACTAATTACCTACTTATTTATTAGGACGAATTATTAATATTTATGTAGGTATACCATGATTGATACTTCTGGAGTCGGTGCCAAGATTATGAAACATGTAAAGTTTGCCTGCACCGACTCCAAAAGTATCAATCATGGTATACCTACATAAATATTAATAATTCGTCCTAATAAATAAGTAGGTAATTATTAATTATTTTTCTACGTTTTAGTGTAGGTTTTTTGGAGTCGGTTTTATTTTTTTTTATAAAATTTTTTATGGTTATAAAACCAAATAATGATCTTAAGTGTCCTTTTTAACAGATGGATAGCGATTTATCCGAACTTAACAGTTTTATAGCCATAAAAGTTGGCTCAAGCGTAACTACCTATTTTTTGAAGAAGTGACTCTGGATTCTTCTACAGACACATTTTTGGGATAATAACCTTTCCTTTAATGAAATGAACTTTAGAACTAGGCTTTTAAATGGTGCCAATATTTGTGTTGTGTTATAAACTTTTTGGCCACTTTGGGTGTCACAAACTATTTGATGCTGACTGTACCATATTTTAACTATACAGTTAATTAATTTTAACCTTTCGCGTTGAAATACAGTTTAAAATTCGAAATATCTTTTTCACCACTAACTTTCACTAATTTTTCAAATTCAAATTATTTATTGCTTACTAAGTGACAATTTGTAACGATGTAATTTGCATAATGTTTCAAGATATCAAATCAATAATGTATAATCAATCGGCTTTTCAACTAACACAGGCTTCATAAAGTTATACATAACCGAAAACAAGTATGGCAACGTTCCAAGTAATATTACGTACACATGAGTACTAATAGGCGGAGTATGTCCGAACGGATAACACCAGAGCCCTCTTCTGTTCGCGTCCCGGATGTGGTGGCTTGTGAACGCTACAATGAGCATCCAGGTCGTTGTGTAGGCGTTGGCGTGTTTGAATATGCGACTTAATGCTAATAGGAGAGCTGTTAGAACAACCCAGAATGTAGTGCAGTGAAAGATACCACGCTGCTTTAAATTGGTGAGATCCTGAAAATAATAATATTAAAATTTATCTGAATTTTTGTCTGAATAAAATTGTATTGCACAGTTATGTAAATCTTTAAAAATACATAGAACATTGCAGCATTAACACTTCACAGAAAGAAAGGCAATTTATATATTAATTCTATATTATTCAGCTGAGTTTATAAATTAAATGTCACTGTGCCAATACAACAACAAAAACTACTATAAAAGGCTGATTTCAAATCTCACCTTCAAGTTTATAGATTTAGCAACTATGAAATGGTCCACATCAATTAGTGAGGACACTATAGTGCACAAAATTACGTTGTAAATGCATGTATTGGACAAAATACTCTGTCCTCTACTGAAAAATAGTAAAGACGAAAAAAGCCCGACACCGGCGTGAACTGTGCTGTCTGCAATGGCGCGAAATATAAAGGAGTTCGAATACTTCGATTTAAACACTATGTAGTCCCCCAATAACGCCGTGGAGAACAAACAAATAGTTAAAAATGCATTTAAAAACTTCATGATTTCAGTAGTTTTGTTTCGCAAGGTTTGAGTTTATTTTCACATGTTTATGGCATATTCTGATAAGTATAAGTATTGTTGAGTATTATTTAACCATTTTTATTACGCTGTAATCAAATTTTAAAGCATGTTTGTGTTAGAATTTCACTGGAATTTGAAAAATTAGAAGCAAAAACTTCGTGTTTTTATTTATTTGACAATTGACAGATGAAACATGACATGAGTGACATTGACTGACAAAATGGACGTTCAAAAATCATTACATTGAGATAAAAATTAATATTTTTATCTCATAGCGTTTCATCATGGCTGCATCTAAATAAATTTTGACCGTTTTAAATTAAAGTATTCTAACCAAAATTATTACATACACGGCCGAATACTGAAACGCCATTTAAATATTTGACGGCTTCTCAAATAGTTAAGCAGCTCCTAAACTTACATTTCGCATACTCAAAACAATATCTGAGCAGTTCTCAATTTTTAAGCACCTCTCAAATTAAGTTGCACTCAAACGCCACTTAAATGAATTTTCGCATACTGAAACGCCATTCAACGCTAAGCACTACTCAAACAACTGTCAAATCGTCTTAAGCAGCTGTTAAATTTGAGAGTGCTTGCGCGGTATCTTAGATCCTATTGTGATACCTAAAACGACCTAAATAGTGGTAAATAATGTGTGTCATCGTTATCATTTCTTTCGAGCCTCGAGGAAATACCTAGATCTAATCGCAGGAACGCAATAAGGCTGAACGCTATTGAAAAATATTATTATAATGACATGCAATTCCGAGCGAGGTTCCGCGTCTCTAAAGAAACGGTGTTGTTTCTGGATTCATAATTTGGAAGCTCTTTGAAACCCCTCACCAAATGCCATGCAACCAGTGGACCAAATACTTATTATAACCGTTATAACCCTACTGTTCTACGCAACGGGAAGTTATGAACGTGTACTAGGTGATATCTTCCACATCTAACAGCCAACTGTGCATCGTATAGTGCACGAAGTAACAACCAAAATAGCTGCTATGAAATCGCTTTACATAAACATGCCTATTTCTGAGGATTATAGCAGCATTTCCAAGAGTTGTTGATTTGTCAATTTGATGCTCTGTCAGTCAACAATGATAAATGTCAATTGTGGTTACGTTTCGGTCCACGATCGCCACTTAATAGATTTCAACAATAAAAAGTATCACATTTAAAATTATTTTTTTATTTAAATAAATATGCAAGCATTAATTTTTTTATGTGATAAAACGAGATTTATATATAATAGAAACTAAAAATAAACTGTTCTATGTTAAGTTGATTGAGTATATTTCCATAAAAGACAATACATAACCAAACGATGCTGCGTGTAATGGATAAAAGACGTAAAGTTATCATTTGTTTAAATGAAAACATACTTTTTTTGGTAAATGTTGCCATTATGTAAACATTTGAGAGCTGCTTAGCTGATCACGGCTTCAAATCCGTTGAGTAGCGTTTGAGAATACCATTTAAAATTGAAGGATACTTAAATTTAGGAGCCCGTCAGCTGAGTGACAGATTTGAGTAGTGTTTCAGTATTCGGCCGATAGTCACTTCGAGATTATGATATAGTTCCAAAATACTGAACTGTCCTATCGATGACATTGACAGCGGGGCGCCACCGTCAATACCGAATCGCTGGTTCCGATTTTTGCCATGTTGGAAACCATAAAGTTGAATGATGGTAGCGCCCCCCTGTCATTGAGTTTGGCGGGACAGTTCAGCGTGGGTCATCTATATCATACTGTTTAACGTGTATTCATATTTTGTAGTATTTGAACGTATCCACTGACTTTTTTTTAAGTTAGGTGGTCAAGGAATCAAACATAATTCCTAGTCTATTTTAGCTTAATTCTAATTTTATAAATACTGTAGCTGCGTATCGTCTTCAAGACAAATAAATTAAATTAGAATTAGAGAATTTACTCAATTTGTTCTGTACGCAATACTTATATTACCGCTGCTGAGTAAGACTGAGTTGCGCTCTTTACAGCTATAATTTAATTAGAAATCTGTCACCATGCTCTAATTAGCAACGAAAATTATAAATTATAATAAAATCTAGTTAACAAGTACTTTCAGTGTAAAGTGGTTCATTACGTTCCTATTTTTTTAAAGTTTCGGAATACAAGATTTCTAACAATAAACAACTTAACTTACAACTATTTCGATGGCAATGACCAATACTCCGAATTACCACACCTAGATTTGGATAAACTTACAAAATCCAAACAAAAGACCTCTAATTTGTATCACGAGTCTAGAAAACGGAGCTCTTTCATGAATGGTCATGTAATAATCACTTATCGCTCCTCATTATCAGTAAATAGTACTGCATACTTAGCTATCAGCATTTAGTCACAAATCCGATAAGAATGATATACTAAGCATTAGATCACTTCTTTAGTGCAATTCGCTTAAACATTTTTTGGTTAAACTTTTTTTTACTAAATACTTTGTGGTACCTAGCGGACTGTTTAGTGATTTATTTTTAAAATGCGGGAAATAGTGCACGTTCAAGCTGGCCAGTGCGGTAACCAAATAGGATCGAAGGTTGGTATAGAACTTTTTGAAAGATTTTTGATAAAAAAATTAAAATGGAGGCGGTAAAATGCCCTACCTATCACATGAATTTACGTGCTCTTTTTTGCTAATGAACACTTATTTTAAATTTTAAAACTAAATTAACTTAGAATTTAACCCACCTCAACCGTCTACCGCTTTTCCTAATAAAGTAAATTATTAAAAAACGCCTATTTAATAAAATTTATCATAGGCTGGGTTGCACCATCTCACTTTAACGTCAAACTCCATCAACAAAACATTAATGTACCTACTTAAGGCTAAAGTAAAGCAATAAGTAGTTGCTATTGCTTAACACTTATAATTGCAAAATAGCTCTATAACAACATACGAATTTTCTAGAATAACATACTCGGAATTAGTAATTAAGTATATGAATAAACGGACTCGATAGTAAAGTCCCAAGTTCGATTCCTGCCCCACTATAGACAAGTACGAGTAGGTAGATTGCATCTGTCAGTTTTAATTCTGAAATTATTTACCGTATTTTTGTATGTTTTGAATAGGCTCCGAAACTACTAGACCGATTTGATAAATTCTTTCACCATTTAAAATTCTACATTATTCTTGATGAACATACGCGGTACGAAGTTCGAAGGGTCAGCTAGTAAATAATAATAATAAATAATAAAACAAAAGGTATTTATAAAAGGCATGTATTTAAATGATCTTTTTAAATTAGCAAAAACGGCAGATAAAAAAATCTAAATGGTCATCTATTTTAATGATTGATCCTCTTTCTTTGAGACATAAAATAAATAAAATCGATCGATATTTTAACCTCTATTGAACTACGCAAAAAAAAATTGAGATGTAAAAATTATATCTGATCGTTACTTGTTGGTCCTCAAAAATAAAAGAAATGAGCACCAAATATTCAATATTGTGATACTTTTTTAAATAATTCGATTTGTATAAATTATTTTTTGTCTATATCAAATAATCTTCAAAATAATTATGTTATGGTACTTATTTTTATTAGGTTGTAGTCAAAGGATGAAAACTATTTAAAGGCACTTGATGTTCAAAGATTTTTTTTTATTAAAAAAGCATACTTAACACGTTCACACTGCGTTATCGGGTCGAATTGACCTTAGGTGCTGGATGCGTTGGTGCGGGATGGATATATTCGGTCTTTTCAGTAGTACGAAAGATAAATATTGTTTTGCAATTGTTTCGTCAAACACAGTAAATATTTGGAAAAAAAAAACTTATCAGGTCCTTACGACCCGATGTCGCACTAAAAGTAAACAAATATCGTTTAGTGCTTTTATCGTGTCTAATCGACCCGTTGACAGATGACTTTATGGTCACTGATCACGGTCGAGATCGGTATACTAAGAGAAAATCAACCTTGCGATTTGAAAAAAATAAAGAGGTAAAAATTATGATGTCGGGTTCAGGGATGTCAGAAGTAAGAAATTATTTTACATAGCGCCTCTAGTCCCAAACTAAGCAAAGCTTGTAATCAAAGACTACTATTATATACTGCTTGTAATTTAAACAAACATGGCAATGTACCTACCATTCTGCTTGCTTATTGGCCGCTAAGCCCTTGGCCAACTCAGTAACCAATGACGGACGATTGTCACTCAACCACAAGGTACCGCGTAAATTAAAAGATATTTTTTAATTAAAAATATTAACCAATAATATTTTTTGTTAGATCAAATATATTTTAAAGTTAAGTTATACATAGATCGAAATGTATTTATTAGGTGATCAATATTAAAAGGCAAACTTGATATAAAAATCATCAAATTAACAAAATTAAAGATCAATAACTAAAAAAGAGGATCAAATATTATTTTTGTTTACCAAATATTAAAAGAGTATGTTAAACATAAATATTATGTTACCTTAAATGAAGATCATTCATAATTTATCGGTAGATCAACTACTATAGACCCAATAATTAATATAAAGATAAAATATAATAAAAAACATCATTTATTTTTAAAAGTGCACATACAAAAAAGATCAATTAGTTTTTAGAGGATCAAATAATATTGTCCCTTTATAAAAGTGTTAGTAACAAAGGACTTATAAATAAAACGCGTAATATTCCAGTTCTGGGAGGTGATATCGGACGAGCATGGGGTGGATCCCCAAGGGGTGTATCATGGCACCAACCCGCTGCAACAGGAGCGTATCAACGTGTATTACAATGAGGCTTCGGGAGGTAAGTTTGACCATTGAAGTAATATTACTAATCTCAATTAGTTTGACGTAGCGACAATGGCCGTTGGAGCAGAAAAGTTCTTGAGTGGCGACCCCGGGCTGGAAGACGTAGTGTGGGCAGGCCTCCTAGAATAGGTCGACCGACGATCTGGTGAAGGTCGCGGGAAGAGCCTGGATGCGGGCAGCGCAGGACCGTTCATCGTGGAAAACCTTGGGGGAGGCCTTTGACCAGCAGTGGACGTCATTTGGCTGAAACGAACTAACAATGACGCTAACGTAAATAACGCTGATGGACGTCTTGGGTAAAACTGTAAGTCCACAGTGAATTATATAAATAAATAAATAAATGAGTTTGGCTGAATATTACGGACCTTTTTTACACCTGACTGCGCCAGAAGGAGAGTTATGTTTTTCGGCATATTCTTTTCAACCGAAAGACTTCCACTGCCGAACATGATCCAATGATTATCGTATTGCCCGGTTGGTAGTGGCCTGCATCCAGAGCCTTCCTGCTTCCTTAATGACATCGTCGGTCCACCTTGTGGGTGGACGTCTCACGCTGCGCTTGTTACTGGCCTCCAATCCAGAACCTTGCTGCCCCGTCGGCCGTCTGTTCTGCGTAACTATGCGACCTAAGCTGCCCATTGCTTGACGTTTCACGGATCTCTTCATTTCTGATTCGATCTCGTAAAGAAACACTGAGCATAGCCCTCTCCATAGCACGCTGTGCAACTTTGAGCTTCTTTATAAGCTTTTCTTACCTAGGTCTTTTAGTGAGAGGCCACGTTTCGGAGCCATGACATCACTGGTATAACACACACTGAATGTTGCTTCGCTCGCTAAACTTTGGACTCTTTTTGGTTAAATTTTTTTAGGAGCTTATATCAATCAGTGTTGCAGTATCGGTTTTCTTTAATATTACACTAACTTGTTTTAATCCAGGTAAATACGTGCCCCGAGCAGTCCTGGTGGACCTCGAACCCGGGACCATGGACGCGGTCCGCGGCGGGCCCTACGGACAGCTGTTCCGTCCGGACAACTTCGTCTTCGGACAGAGTGGCGCTGGTGAGTCTTATTACTGTTAACTCAAATAGAAAGACACGGGTTACATTATGTACAAAATCAAAATCAAAAATATTTACCTATTCAGTTTAGACCACAAGGGGCACTTATGAACGTCAAAATACAGTAAATAATAAAAAAGAAAAGGTAGCCCTTATGGAGTACTTTACATGTCTCCTTATCTTTTGGGCCCTACCAGCGCTTCGAGACAAACATAAGGCAAGTGCTGAGAAGAAACGCCGGAACAAACTCAGCTTACTCGTAAATGGCATAGCTTTTTTTGTATCATAGGTATGATAGTCATCCTTAAAGTTTTCTGCTACTTAAAGGACGAAGCACACTTATCAACCCGGAAACGGATCGTAACCGTATCACCTCGTGCCGGTCAGTATTCTTTGCATTCAAAACTCCATACTGCAACGCACACGTATCCGCATCGTAACGTAAACGCTTCGCCTCGCGATTGCCAGCGCGGCGAAAGACGATACGGTGTTAATCCCTTTCAGTAGGTAGAAGTAGGTCTAAATATTTATTTATTTATTTATATTAACCGGCAGACAGTGGTGACTGAGTTTGTTGCGGCGCTTCTTCTCAGCACTTGCCAAATGTTGGTCTCGAAGCGCTGGTAGGGTAAAAAGATTATGAGACATGTAGAGGCTCCTTAAGAGCAAAATGACGATTTGTAAGAACTATTTATTAGTCTAAACAAATAAAGAAATCTTGACTTTGACTTTGACTTTGACTTTAATACTTAATTAAAAATCTTTTTTCAGGTAACAACTGGGCAAAAGGCCACTACACCGAAGGCGCTGAGCTGGTAGACTCAGTCCTCGACGTCATCAGGAAAGAAGCAGAGAGCTGTGACTGTCTCCAGGGTAAGCTACACTATTCCCACTTCTCGTTCCCACCGCTGCAACTCCTGTGCAGCCAGGATCTACAGCTTGACTGCCAAAACCTGATCTGTGAACTTCACTTGTCCCGGGGAAAGTTACACTGACATTGGACACGCGATGAAATTAGTCAGAAGATCATTTGGAGAAGTTAAGTGAAAGGGGACTATTCCCACCTCTCGTTCCCACCGCTGCAACTCCTGTGTAGCCAGGATCTACAGCTTGACCGCCAAAACCCAATCAGTAAAGGCCAAGTTTGTCCCAGGGGAAAGACAGTACACACGGCCACACTGTTAACTATCCATTTCCGTTTTTGCTCTCGCTCTCATCAAATGGTGATTCTTTGCGATAGAACGAGATGACATGACTGGCAATGGGCAGTTAACACTGTTGCCGATAGTACGTCCACTGCTAAAAATAGGCCTCCCACAATGATTGGTTGGTAGCGGCAGATTAAGCACGTTCCAAATAAAAATAAACATTATATTCCAGGTTTCCAGCTGACTCACTCTCTCGGAGGAGGCACTGGCTCCGGCATGGGCACGCTGCTCCTCAGCAAGATCAGGGAAGAGTTTCCTGACAGGATCATGAATACTTTCAGTGTTGTACCCTCGCCGAAGGTAGGTGGATGATATAGAATTTTAGATGGAAACACTTTTGACAGTGTACTTACTATACAGAAGTGATTAAACTTGCGCTGCTTCTTCTCAGCACTTGCCAAATGTTCAAGTCTCGAAGCACTGCCTACCAGCGTAAAAAATAATAAAAATGTAGTTTGTGTCAACTAATTTACCTAAGTAAATAGTCTAAACAAATATTATGTTTTTAACTTAGATTGTAAACGACACAAAACAAGAAGAGGAAAGAAATATAACACAAAAAAGACTGCATAATAAATAGAAGCGGTACATACCACTATAGGTAAAGCCAAGAGGCTTCGCACACGCTGCGAAAGCCAGTTGTTTCCAGTTTGTTGCACGTACACGCACTAACATACAAGAGAAAAAAATGACTACGTTTGCCCCTTGAGTAGAATTTTTCAATCAAAGGTGCCTGAGTTTTTTGCGCTGCTTCTTCTCAGCACTAGCCCATTTATTGTCCCGAAGCAGTTAGAGTTTTAATACTGGGACGTATTAAAGCGCTTTTTAAAAGCCTCTTTGCAGAAAACAAAAGACTTTTATTACCTACGCAATGAGGGCTATCGTTTTTATACTTAATGATAGATCGCCCGGTGCTTTGTCCTGCTGGAAGCTCTTCTGGAAGGACTGGTCTTTTGTTCTAAACGTCCTGCCAGAAGATTATCGCAAGTCCTGCCCGCAGTACGCAATTTGTACGTGTTTGCTTGCTGGTCCTTCCAGCAGTACGGTGACCTTCAAATTTGAACTCATCCTCACCAGAAGTAGTAAACACTTGGTTAGTGTTTATTAAATAAAAAGTCATGTCGTAGAATCATTTTGTTTAACCAGTATTTTACTTTTCTTAATATATTATAAACTTGTTTATCTTCTTTCAACTTAACTAATAGGAACTATAATAAGGAACTTTAAATTAATTACTTTGGTACGTCACCTTGTATTAGAAATTACACCTTATCACTTACAAATACACTACAAATTAAAAACAAAAACAAGAAATAAATTATAAATGTTTGATTAGGCTGGAATACTTCACATTCATTATAATATTATCGCCAAAATGTTGCCGACTCCACGCCCGGCGCGTCAAAATGTGTCGCGCGAGCGCGAACGCGCTGCCCCCGTGTATACTCGTGCGCCATCGGGCTCCGACTAACGGTTAGTCGCGTTTTTCGATCTTGGGCACTATTGGGTGAAAGAGAGAGAAACACTCTATTTTTTCGTGTAAATTTGAAATTTTTACAATGTATACTTACGAAACTGTGATCTTTTAATTTTGAGTCCTACCGGAAGTACTTTAAGTCCTGCTGGCAGGACTCCGGGCGATCTATCATTAACAGTTGGCACCCCTGGCGATTGACAGGACCTTACTCTACAGTGGCGCCATCTTGATGAGTGCAAATGCGATAGTCCTCCTACCACTTTAGCGCTCACCAGTTGGTGCCACTGTCTTCGCTACTAGCAAGTGACAGGACCTTACTCTACAGTGGCGCTAACTGGTGAGCGCTAAAACGATAGCCCTCATTAAGAAGTTACCACTTTGTTACCAGGTCAGCGAGGTAGTCCTAGAGCCTTACAACGCGACGCTGTCAGTCCACCAGCTGGTGGAGAACACAGACATGTCCTTCTGCATCGACAACGAGGCGCTGTACAACATCTGCTTCAGGACTTTAAGACTGGCCAGCCCGAGCTATGGCGATTTGAACCATCTTATATCGGTAAGTAGTATAAATGTTTTTTTTTACTATAAAATAAATAGGAAAGTACCGGAAAACGCAGCGTGAGACGTCACCCACAAGGAGGACCGACGATGGGGATAAAGGTAGCAAGAAAGCGCTGGACGCAGGCCGCTACCAACCGTGCGATGTGGAAGTCATTGGGAAAGGCCTATGTTCAGCAGTGGACGTCCTGTGGCTGAAATGATGATGATGATGATGAGGTATTGTCGATTTGACACACTGAGTAAGTAGATTCAGTACTGAAATGGAGAAGGAGCGAGAGGCCTCGCCTACGCAATCAAAAAAAAGATTCCGTACCGAAAAACCATGTGCATATGTCACACTTTAAATGTTTCTCTACCAGGCAGTAGGCCAGGTTTACAGCCACAATTCCGTTTCATAGAATGCTTTATGTTCCACTGATCTCCAACCCGCCTGCCAAGCGTGGGGATTATGGCAAAACCCTCCACTATAGTAGAGGAGGCTCATAGTCCAGCAGTGGACTGTAAAGGGCTGTTGATGATGATGATAGCCACTGGATGTCGCAAAAGATGAATGAAAGACAAATTATCGTGTCACATCATCAGACGTCCCCAAATCATCTGGTCAACATAATCTTTACGTGCCTCTGGTAAAATGGAGAGTTGTGCTCCTGCAGTGGAAACTTAACGACTTTGATGATGGCCCTATAGAACTAATCACATAAACATAGATGAGGGTAGGCCAATAAAGACTATTGCTTGCAGCTGACAATGTCAGGCGTGACCACGTGTCTCCGCTTCCCTGGGCAACTGAACGCAGACTTAAGGAAGCTCGCAGTCAACATGGTTCCGTTCCCACGGCTGCACTTCTTCATGCCAGGTTAGTCTTCCAGAAGGACACCCGGTCAAGCTTTATACTCTTTATAATTCTTATATTTAAAGACTCGTGGCAGGCGGGGCCATAAGTAATTTTTGAAACAGATGCACACTCGCCAATATTTTATTAATTATTACGTATTAACGCTATGCCTGCCTCTGTGTGACGTCACCCATAACCAGTGTGAGTACGAGAGAAAACGTGATTTGCATTGTTTTATTATATTATAACATGCCTCGAGCCTGCCGCCTGTCAGGTGGATGGTTACATACAAATTGTTTTTATTCACTAAAGGAATATCATGACTGGAGGAATTATTCTGATTAAGCAAATTAGGTACATGTTATTTAAATTTTAATTAATAATAAATTGACTTGTGTAAAACATTTAGAAATTAGGTAGATGTTATTTAAATTTTGATTAATAATAAATTTACTTTGTGTAAAACATTTGCATGCTGGTTCATATCTGGCGAATGTGTCCTGCTCCATTTCATTATGTAACATCTAATGTACCACATTCTGCAAATAAATAATTTGAATTTGAATTTGTCTTTGCGTCGAGTAAGTATAACTGCGCACCTCGCTGGAATGCGACTCTCCCTCGCACTCACCCGCACACCTCGAGAGCGGCGATATGACGTCACGGCCGCTATGTAACTTGACCGGGTTGTAGTCTTGTGTATCAACAGGCAACACAATTTACAAGCCTAAGTAAGTATGTGATAAAGTTTACTAAAATGTCCATTGCTGTTTCCAGGGTTCGCTCCTCTAACAGCAAGGAATTCCTTCAACTACCGTCCTCAGACCGTCTCGGAACTCATGAGTCAAGTAAGTATTAACCTTAAAACAATTCAAATATGAAATCATTTACCAGTAAGTACGTCTCAGAATAAAGAAGAAGAATGGAGTATAACTTGCCACTATGCTTGGCGTTCGTGGACTATGAGAAGGCCTTCGATTCGATTGAGACTTGGGCAGTGCTACAATCTCTCCAGCGGTACCGTATTGACTATCGGTATATCGAGGTGCTGAAGTGCTTGTACAAAAACGCCACCATGTCGGTCCGAGTACAGGAGCAGAGCACGAAGGCGATTCCACTGCAGCGAGGCGTTAGGCAGGGAGATGTTATATCTCCGAAACTGTTCACCGCTGCATTGGAGGACGCTTTCAAACTCCTGGAATGGAAAGGATTCGGCATAAACATTAATGGCGAGTACATCACTCACCTTCGGTTTGCCGACGATATTGTGGTCATGGCAGAATCGTTGGAAGATCTTGGCACAATGCTCGAAGACCTTAATCGAGTTTCCCAACAGGTAGGCCTGAGGATGAACATGGACAAAACGAAGCTTATGTCGAATATCTATGTTGCGCCCTACCCAGTTTCAGTTGGGAGCTCAATTCTCGAAATTGTCGACAAGTATGTCTACCTAGGACAAACGATCCAGCTAGGTAGGTCCAATTTCGAGATGGAGGTCAATCGTCGAATCCAACTCGGCTGGGCAGCGTTCGGGAAACTACGTAACATCTTTTCGTCCAAAATACCCCAATGCCTGAAGACGAAAGTCTACAATCAATGTGTGTTACCAGTGATGACTTATGGCTCGGAAACGTGGCCTCTCACTATAGGCCTTATACAGTAAGCTCAAAGTTGCACAGCGTGCTATGGAGAGGGCTATGCTCGGTGTTTCTTTGCGAGATCGAATCAGAAATGAGGAAATCCGTAAACGAACTAAAGTCGCTGACATAGCCCGACGGATTAGCAAGCTGAAGTGGCAATGGGCAGGGCACATAGTGCGCAGAACTGACGGCCGATGGGGCAGCAAGGTTCTGGAATGGAGGCCGCGTACCGGAAGGCGCAGCGTGGGACGTCCACCTACAAGGTGGACCGACGACATCGTGAAGGTAGCAGGGAAGCGCTGGATGCAGGCCGCTACCAATCGATCAATGTGGAAAGCATAAGGGGAGGCCTATGTTCAGCAGTGGACGTCCTATGGCTGACATGATGATGATGACGTCTCAGAATTGCAGAGCACGTAGACGTAGGTAGGTACAGAACAAATCGTTTCTTGAGGGTACAAAACTTGGTTCAGACACCTAAGTACGCGGTGGGTACGGTTTGTTTTTATTTTTATGCAAAGCAGGTCTAGGATGGTACACTGTCCTGTATGTGAATATATCACTTTCGCCTTGAAGTGGCCCAGATTCGGAAAAGACAGCAACAGGAGTGAATCCCAAATGCAAAATGTTTTGATGCACACATACGAGAACTGTCCACTGCGCGTTTATCGCTGTCAGAGCTTAATGAGTTCTTTTACACATCCCTCGTCTTCCCACAGATGTTCAACCCCGGCAACATGATGACGGCTTCCGACCCCCGCCACGGCCGCTACCTCACCGTCGCCACCATGTTCCGGGGACAGATGTCCATGAGAGAGGTGGACGATCAGATCCTGGCCATACAGAACAAGAACTCCAGGTGGGTAACCTTCCCTAGATGATAAATAAATAATAATAAATAAATAATCTTTGGACAATTTCACACAGCGCCAGCTAGCCCCAAAGTAAGCAACTCAATGCTTGTGTTATGGGTGCTAGCTTAACGGATATACTACTTATATACTTTTTTTTTTATTAAATACATACATATTATACATATTTACACCCAGACCCGTCACAGAAATTAAAATTCATCATTTCAATTTCTGCCCGGCCGGGAATCGAACCCGGGACCTCTCGGCATAGTAGTCCGTTCTGAACCACTACACCAAACGGCCGACTGATGTTCCAAAAACATCATATCCTTCTTATTTATCTAGTACCTACTCGTACATCTTAGTCCCAGAACAGATGGTGAAACGCAACTGCAACGAAACTGCAACTTTCCGATGATTCTGATGAATAAAACTGAAACTGGTCGCGTCATGTGTGGTCTCTCAACGGACGCTATGGCAGAAACTTAGATGCAACTCAAAAGTAACTAGTAGTTGCAGTTTCGTTGCAGTTGCGTTTCACCGTCTGTTCTGGGCCTTACTAATATTATAAATGTAGATTTCCATGAGAGAGGTGGACGATCAGATCCTGGCCATACAGAACAAGAACTCCAGGTAACGTCTGTTTTCAGCGATAAGTTCCACTACTATTAAAGGTTCGTTCGTTTCAGCCAAATGACGTTCACAGTGGCCTCCCCCAAGGTCTTCTGCCCGCACCCCAGTTCATTAAAGGTTCACAGGTCTTTATTAGGATTTTTTTACCGTCGCCGCCAATTCCCCACCAAGTTACAAGGACACCGGATTGGTGAAGCTCTAAGGTCATAGCAGACTTATCAACTCGGAAAGGGATCAACACCGTACCGCCTTTCGCGCTCTGTCATCGCGTGTGGGCTGGAAGACGTAGCGTGGGCAGGCCTCCTACTAGGTGGACCGACGATCTGGTAAAGGTCACGGGAAGAGCCTGGATGCGGGCAGCGCGGACCGTTCATTGTGGAAAACCTTGGGGAGGCCTTTGTCCAGCAGTGGACGTCATTTGGCTGAAACGAACAAACGAACGGATAAGTGTGCGTTGCAGTATTGAGTTTCATTTAGTAATATAATCTGTGGTTTCATAGAAAGAATACTGACTGCCTCGTGTTGATATGGTTACGATCCCTTTCCGGGTAGATAAATGTGCGACGTCCTTATTGCGACATGCCCCCTCCTTTATTCTTTTTAACCTCATATATTTTCTCTTCTATTCCTCCAGCTACTTCGTAGAATGGATCCCTCACAACCTGAAGGTGGCAGTGTGTGACGTGCCTCCTCGAGGCCTCAAGATGGCGGCCACCTTCATCGGCAACTCCACCGCCATCCAGGAGATCTTCAAGCGGATATCCGAGCAGTTCACCGCTATGTTTAGGAGACGGGTAAGATCATAAGATGAAAACGTCTGGTGATGGCAGAGTAGAGTACTACATTTGTTACCAACCCCTACTCTTCACGCGGGTGTCGTAAGAGGCGACTTAGGGACTACACATCAAACAAAGAACGGGCAGCAGCGCTCTCTGAAAAACATTATATTAAACTGCGATCTCCAACCCGCCTGTCAAGCGTGGGGATTATGGCAAAACCCTCCACTATAATTATTGGAGGAAGCTGTTGATGATGATGAAGATGAGAACACGTGGGTTTCACAACCACGTGGGTTTGTAGAATCTTAGATCTTGGATCATATTAAGGTCATTTGAAGCCATAGTCCAAAGTTAATGAAGGTGTAGGACCGGCCGACTTGAGATCCGAGGAACGCTGGTACGAACCTCGATGCAGCTCGACTATTGTGGACCCACCCAGTAATTTGTGAATTACAAATTAGGGTACTAGGTACTAACTAACATTCTTTCTAAAAAAGTGACACAATCAATCTAAACTCTAAAATTCATTGGTCCAACGTTGGTCCCAACATCACTCCTCCAACGCAACTTGGAATCTAGATATAAACACCAACGTTGGACAAGCTATTTTCTAGGTCCTTCGTTGGACCAACGTATGGAGCCAGGATAAGAGGTGATGACAAGCCGAGAATCTCCTTTATACAAGTAAATACTTAAAAGGAGAACACCCACTACTGTTGCTATAACTTGTAGTAAATAGGTACTTAGGTCTAAAGATCGTTTCACCCACTCGGACGCGCCCGACCACTTTTTGGTCTCGGTCGCGCGGGGTGCGGGGAGTTTGATCCGAGCAATCTGTAAGGCATTATTGTAGTGTGCGTGTGCACTCATGGCGTGTACCGATCACACTCAAACATTAGCGGGAGAAAGGTAGGGCGCGTCTTCGTGGATGAAACGATCTATAGAAACATGCCTATTTCATGGGTTGCCTAGCAACTAACGCCTAGCCTCTTTCCCAGGCCTTCCTCCACTGGTACACCGGCGAGGGCATGGACGAGATGGAGTTCACGGAGGCGGCCAGCAACATGAGCGACCTCATCTCCGAGTACCAGCAGTACCAGGTAACCAACAATCCTCGTATTAAACTACCTACTTGTACATCTTGGGTAACTTTGAATATTTCAGGGTAATTTTTAATACTATTGCACAACTGTTCAGTTACCCTGTGAACACAAAATTAGGCTGAGTTGCACCACCTAACTTTGACCGTAACTTTAACGATAACCGGTGTTCTGTTCTTTGTATGGAGTTTGACAGATTTTTGACGTTTGTCAAAGATAAAGTAAGATGGTGCAACCCAGCCTTAGAATTCAAATTGTGAGGGTTAATTTTTGAAAAATGTATGCAGTCTAAATGTATGTCATGTACTTAGTGAATTATATTTTTTACTTTTCAAAGTTACTTAAGAGCGTTGTAGCAAAAAGTTGGCGTTCGAATTTTAGGTTTTTATTGCTTGACGTCGCGTAGTGAGTGCGCAAACTGCATTTATCTGTACAATTTCAACGCTGCGTCGACTAAACGATCTTAATCCGTAGTTGTATCGTACCTAAGACAGTACATCATACATAATAATAAAGAAATAATGTATCCATTTGATTTTTTCTCAGATCAGACTTTTAGCAAAATCAAGTTACGTTAATTAATGTATTTTTTACACTTGTAAATCCCGCGACAAGTTTTTAATCTTTAAATTGAGTAAAGTAATAAGTTGATGGGTCTGAAAGAATTTATGTTTTATTTTATTCTTTTTACAGCATCAAAAGCTTGTTTATGAAAAAAATTTACTATTTAAATTTTACTTTTGAGACTTTTTAGTTTTTATGATGCGGGTTGGAAAAATTAAAATTTATTCTGATTTTGTGACGTTTCCGCACATAAATATGGATAGGTTAAATAAATAGAATGAAATGTATGAAAACGAGCGTGCCATTTTTTAAACGTTATCTGTGTCCATCAAAGAGCTCGCAACTAAACATCGTAAGCGCCATTCAAATTATTATCTAAAAGTTAATAATAAATATTTAGTATTTGTAAATCTAAACAAGTCAGGAAATCAAAGAGGTAAATACTGATATCATTGTGATTTTATAGAATTTATTATTATAAACCACGGTCGTACCATGAAGCTAAAGATAAAAATGGAGGGCAGAGTTGGAACAAAAACTTGAGTCAAATACCTACTTATATCTATCTCGCTCTCTGCGGCCCTACCTCTCTTTTTAGTGTGAACTGTAGTATTGCTATCTTCTGATTTAAATCAATTCCTGGGTAATCGGTACCATGTGGCAACATCGGCCCAATCCGGCCCATCATGGCGGTTGTTTACTATTTTGTTTATTAAGCAGTTAATTTCGTTTGAGATTGTTTACAGGAAATAATCATTGTTTTATCACAAGAATTGGTGCAAAATTTTGTAGTGCGTGGTTGCGGTAGTACGTGGTGTCCTGGAAGTGACATAAGATTCCACGCGTAAGTGTTTATTTCGTGATTTCCGACAGTGGATCATTGTTAAACATTTTTCACATTTTTTACAGTAATTTCTTCCTAAAACGTTTTACCAGTAATTACACTTATCATTTTTAATGATACCTATGTCAAGAAATAAAGATTTTACATTGGTTTCATTGAATTTGAGCAATTTTATATTTTTTGTTTAAATAAACAAATAAATTTCTAAATAGAAAGAGCGAGTCTGCCCACAGAGAGCGAGATAGTGATACTTAGTTTGTGCTTCAAGTAGGTATTCGGAGTGTGGCCTCCATTTTTATCTGTAGCTTCATGGACACTACTCACTGCACTCGTACGCAGTGTTGCCAACATTTTTAAAATACAAGTTGGGTTGTCCGTGTAAGTAAAATTTTAGTGGTCAGACTTGAGTTTTATGAAATTTTAATTGGTTATCATCGATTCGATGTTTTAACACTGAAAACTTAAAAACATCGATACATCGAGTATTTCAATAGCTTTTCAAAACATCGGATCCATTCGATGTATCGCATTGTAAACATCGATGTTTTCAATACATCGATGTATATCGAATATCCCTACCCCAAGCCACCCATCCTTATCGCTCGCGCGTAATTATGTTGCTGTCGCGCTTGCACACTTACCCCCTTACTAATAAAACTTACACGCTCGTTTAACAGTGTTTTAAAGTGACGTTTAGTATGGAAATGTCATTTTAAAACAGTGTTCAACAACTGTGTAACTTTTTATTAGTAAGGGGGTCACTGCGGACGCTCCACAGTGTTGCCGGTTCATAGTAGGTAACGGACAAAATTATTTTCGATCTGAACTTACTACCTTTTGTCAGATTTGTATAGAATATAACTATATCTAATAGAAAAATACATTTTTTAGTTTTGAAATTGGTACATATTTTAGTACAAACTTGGAACAAAAATTAATGCAAAATATCATCTAACTTCAGCTTAATGATTAGGGTTTGTGGCTTTCCATAGCTCGATAGGCTTATATCATCCAAATGTATTTCTTGGTACACCTTTGTAATGACGTTAAGTATGTTACCATGTGTAATTGACCGCTTGTTTACAGGAACTTGATCCAATTCTCAAACAGCGCCTCGGAAAAATTCTTAGTTTCGAAAATCGCTAAAAACAGCGCGGGTAGTATAAATAAATAATCTTTATAAATAAATAATCTTTGGACAATTTTCACACAGCGCCAGCTAGCCCCAAAGTAAGCAACTTAATGCTTGTGTTATGGGTGCTAGCTTAACGGATATACTACTTATATACTTTTTTTTTTTTTTAAATACATAAATATTATACATAGTCACACCCAGACCCGTCACAGAAATTAAAATTCATCATTTCAACTTCTGCCCGGCCGGGAATCGAACCCGGGACCTCTCGGCATAGTAGTCCGTTCTGAACCACTACACCAAACGGCCGACAGTATGTCGTAGCAAAATTTGTTTTTACAACATGAAAATATAATATCTGAGGATAATTTCTATCAATATTTCGTTACGGAAAGTAATGGAAAGTATGTACTTTCAGCCTTGTGAGTATAATTTTTAAGGTCGTTTTCAATCACTGATTTTGTTAATTTTTATTAAATAAATAGGCTGAAGCCTCAATCTTCCAAGCCGAGGTCTTTGCCATAAACAAATGTGCAGAGATAAACTTGGAAAGGAAGCTCCAGGATCAACACATCTACATCAACTCAGACAGCCAAGCAGCACTGCTGGCCTTAAAATCCTTCGAATACACGTCAAAATTGGTGCAAACATGCACCGAGACACTGAATGCACTGGGAAATACCAACAAAGTAACGCTTACATGGGTACCAGGACATTCGAATATAGAAGGAAACGAAGTAGCAGATGAACTCGCCAGAGATGGAGCCGATAACCCTCAAATCGGCGTAGAACCGTTCTGTGGCATTACCAAACAACGAGCCACCACGCTACTAACCGCCCTCTGCAAACAAGAGGCTATTGAGTGGTGGAAGTCTACATCGGGACAAAAACACTCAAAAGCACTCATTCAGGGATATAGCAACAAAGTAACTAAGGAACTGCTAAAGTTCAAAAGATACAAAGCCTGTGCAGTGACTAGAATACTGACCGGCCACTGCAAACTAAACAAACATAAATCGAACATGAACATGACCGAGGAAACTCTGTGCAGATTCTGCCATACAGAAGAAGAAACGGCCATGCATGTTCTTTGCTCATGCTTCCCGCTTATGAGCAAAAGAAGTATCCATCTCGGGCGACACATCATGCACCCGGATGAGATAGCAGATATCACGCTCCAAAGAATCTGGAAATTTATAGACTCAACGGGACTAAGCAGTGAACTCTAAAGACAAGGGCTGCCACAATAGATCAAACCTGGTCGAGTTGGCGCAAATAAAGGCCCAAAAACCAATAATAATAATAATACTTAAGAGAATGAACTGCAAGTTATGTCCCTGTCATCGCAAGAAGAACTCACGCTGACTTCAGTTCCTAACACAAATTGATCCCGAATTAATTCCGTCGACTCTATTTATTACATTTAGGGTTTGTTACAAAACTGCGAATCGGCGCCATGCACGTTTAAAGAAGGGGGACTGGGTGCCTACCTACCCCAGAATTTTGGGCTAGCGATGGTACTTACTCAAGACCAATGATCATAGCTGGGCATTAACTCGTTAATCCGTTAATCGTTAATTAACGAAGTTAACATTTCTATTAACGGATTAACTTTTAAGTTAACTTTAAAAAATGTTAACGGACTCGTTAACTTCCGTTAAATTATCCTAAGTCCGTTAATCGTTAATCCAGTACTTACTATTTACAAAAAAGATACAGCAGGCACGCTGAAAAACGCAAGAAAAACGCGTTCTGACAAGTACGTTCGTAAGTAATGTTTCCAGAACTTCCAGAACCCAAAACAACAGTTTTTGTAACCAGATCACTAACGCAACGATATAAAAAATGCTCTTTTTTATTTATTTACAAGCCTTCACTTGTTAGTATGTGTGGGACAAATCTTGCAACTGAATTTAAGACCAGTTCTCCTCAACCGATTAAGCTGAAATTTGGTATACATATCGTTATAAAAATTTATAAGCGAATTGAGTTGCTTCTCAAACTAAATTTTAAATAAACAACTTGAAAAAATCGAACTGCCTAATACATAAGTCTGGTAGATAAGTTAATTTCTGTAACACATTTGTTTGTAATTTCTAAAAATAAATAAAAAAAACAGTCAGGAGGTGGCCATAGGAATTCCTAAACGAAACGGTGGAAACTTATCGAGTTTGGGTTTGTTGGATTTTTCGAGCACTATGGTGCTAAATTGTATTGTAATTGTACCAAGGCAAAGCTCTGAGATTGAGATACAACTAAAAAATGTAAAATAAAATTATAAAAAAAATATTTAATAAAAAAAACTTCTTTATAAACAAGCTTTTATTCTAAAATGCAGTTGTCCTAAAACGAAAAAATAATTATACTTATGCAAAGTTCAAATAATTTCGAAAGCTTGAAGCGCAAACATATAAGAGGAATAAATTCCATGCGAGATACAAGCTTTCGAAATTATTTGAACCTTGCATGCAATTATTTTTTTTGTTTTATTATCACGTGTTAACGGATTAACGATTAACGTTAACTTGCGTTAAATCTTCCGAAATGTAACGTTTTAACGTTTAACGAAGTTAATTTTTTTAGTAACGGTTTAACGATTAACGAAGTTAACTATTTGATTAACGGTGCCCAGCTATGCCAATGATTCAAAATCTGGTTGGAGATAGGTGGTCTTACCACAGAGATGTTTTTTTTATGTATATTCTGCCCTATGGCAATCTATTCGAAAACAATAAGCCACTTGTTTGGCTTGAGTTTTATGTTGTCTTCAATAACGCCAATCAATTGCTGAACTTTTTCCAGCAAATTCTCTTCCTGACTCAGTCTACAAATCTTTAGGCGAGACTGGATGAAGATGATTATTAAGTATATTATTCTTCTCTGCCCACAGGATGCGAATGTGGATGACGAAGAAGTGGAATTTGACGAAGAAGAAGAACTGGCACATCACGATCCTCAACCGTATATGACCGAGGCGCAGTAGAACTAGTATCACTAGTCTAGTAAGAGTATTAATTAAGTCCCACGGTACCATTATAACTTCGAACTCCTCCTATGTTCTTCTGATTAATTTCGTTGCGGGTCCAATGACAGTTTAACTTTCCCCCGGGACAAACTTGACCGTCACTGGTTGGGTTGAGCGGTCAAGCTGTAGATCCTGGCTACACAGGAGTTGCAGCGGTGGGAACGAGAGGTGGGAATAGTCCCGTGCCTACGGAATAGCATTTTTAGAATTATGATTACCGTGGTATTGGAAATAATTTGTAAAATCCTAATCGTAAGTTGAAGTGGTATTTGCAGTTTGTACTAAATTATTTTTGTATGTATTGTGCGCATTTGTTTAAATTGTTGTTTTTTTATAAATATAGTGCGTAGAAAATACTGTCTGTCATTTTATTTACTTCAAGAACATTTCTCTAAAACGCGATCGAGCTAACTGCGCTGGCTGTACCAGAGCGTCGATGTGACGTCACACCTGCCAGATGCGCAGTTCACTCGACCAGTTTGTACCTTTTACTTGGGTAAGGCAAATGTAAGACGACATAAGTCAATTAGAAGAAATAAATGAAGTGGCAATGGGCAGGCTAACTGATCTGTGAACTCGTAGAATTTTGTCCAATAACCCCAAGCT